GCAGGGGGGGGAAATGAGAGGGAGCAGGGGGGGAAATGAGAGGGAGCAGGGGGGGGAAATGAGAGGGAGCAGGGGGGGGAAATGAGAGGAAGAAAGGGGGAAAATGAGGGGGAGAAGGGGGGGAAACGAGAGGGGGGAAAGCGGGGAAATGAGAGGGGGAAGAGAGGGAAATGAGAGGGAGAAGGGGGGAAATGAGAGGGAGAAGTTGGGGAAATGAGAGGAGGAGGGGAAACGAGAGGCGGAAGGGTGGGAAACGAGAGGGAGGAGGGGGAGAAATGAGAGGGGGAAGGGGGGAATACGAGAGGGGGAAGGGGGAGTTACGAGAGGGAGGAGGGGGGGAAATGAGAGGGAGAAGGGGGGAAAACGAGATTGATAAGGGGGGGAAACGAGAGGGGGAAAGGGGGGAAATGAGAGGCGGAAGGGGGGAAAACGAGAGGGAGAAAGGGGGGAAACGAGAGGGAAGAGCGGGGGAAACGAGAGGGAGGAGGGGGGGGAATGAGAGGGGGAAAGCGGGGAAATGAGAGGGGGAAGAGGGAAATGAGAGGGAGAAAGGGGGAAATGAGAGGGAGAAGTTGGGGAAATGAGAGGAGAAGGAGAGGAAACGAGAGGGGGAAGGGGGGGAAACGAGAGGGAGGAGGGGGGGAAATGAGAGGGAGAAGGGGGGGAAACGAGAGGCGGAAGGGGAGGAAAGGAGAGGCGGATGGGGGGGGAACGAGAGGGAGAAGGGGGGGAAACGAGAGGGTGGAGGGGGGAAACAAGAGGGAGGATGGGTGGAAACGAGATGGAGAAGGGGGGGAAACGAGAGGCAGGAGGGGGGAAAATGAGAGGCGGAGGGGGGGGGGAACGAGAGGGAGAAAGGGGGGAAACGAGAGGGAGGAGCTCCGGGAAAATGAGAGGCGGAAGGGGGGGAAATGAGAGGAGAAGGGGGGGAAACGAGATTGAGGAAACGAGAGGCGGAAGGGGGGGAAATGACGAAATAAGGTTATGAGCCAAGCAGCGCGTGAGGCAAGTATTTTGCCGATTCGCAGGTGAGGCATGCGGCGGGTGAGGCGAGAAGCGGGTGACGCGCTAAACGGATTTCGCGAGCACCGTGTTTGGCGAGGAGCGGGTATCGCTATCAGCGGGTTTCGCCATCAGCGGGTTTCGCCATCAGCGGGTTTCGCGATGCATGATGGCGCTAGGCGAGAAGCCCACAGGGTGGAACGCGACGGCTCACTGAATAATTTATCGCTGGTTCGACGATTGCATCACGGCGAGCCAGCATAATGCAACTCGTCGAGGCGCTCGCCCGTGTGCCGCATGGCATCGCTCGACGAATGCTACGCGACGGCCCATCCGAATGCAAACCGCCCCTGCAGCTAAAGGCTTTTGTATAGCCCCGTGTCCCCTTACCACGGGCGATTAGGTCAGGGTGAGTAGTTGTGCTGCTAGTTCTATCAAGGCCTTTCCTAGTAATTAGTTGCTTATCATTGTGTTTGTGAGGGTCGCTCAAGGGTTGGGTGACGGGAGAGTTTCTCGTGTTCCCACCCCTCAATCCTCCAAATTTTCGCAACCCCTCTCGCCAAGCCCCTTTCTTTTCGTTGGGGCGAAATCTTGGTGGCTACTGTTCCACCACAAACAGTACTTTCAAATGTATACGAAAGCTTTAAAGCTCGCCGCCATGGCCATGGCTGCATTGTCATTGTCAGCTGAATGTGCAGGAGTTTTCAACTCCGGTTGTGGGCATGGAGAGTGGGAGGGAGGGAGGGTTTCCCAGCAAGCACATGCCTTCTCCCGCCCCGCTACGGGACAGCCTGCGCCAGTGGCGATCATGAAGGGTGTGGCCCATTGTACAGGTGGATGGCTTAGATGGACTTGTCTCAGCGTCACGCTGCACACGATCTCCCCACTTTGGGCACTGTGAAATACATAGTGGTCCTTGTGTTTTGTCTCAAATGCAACAGTTCTGATGTGCCTTGTACGGGCTGACGAATGAAATTTTGTCGGAGCAACTGCCAAACACCGGGCTAGTGTCGGTGACACACTGGATGCCGAAAGCTTCTGGATTCTGGAAACAGGACTGGTTCGGATGCCGCAAGGAATAAATACACTCGACTCGACTGGCAGGGTTGGGCAGTTGAAAATGAACATGATTGGTTGTGATGCCATCCCAAATCATCAGTATTTTGGATTTGGCGGACTAGCAGTCAGAAAGGACGAAGAGGACGCACAAAAAGACAAACGTTTAGGAGAGAAACGACAAAGAGCAACCTCCCAAAACGCGGCGATGCAAACATTATAGCCTGGCGTTCTCGGCACCCCGTCTCGCCTCTCTGAACCATTGAAACCGAACAAGCACCAATCTTTCGCCCCCCTGCACAGTGTTTCGGTCTACGAACATGGAATTCCGGCTTGTACACAGTGCTGCCCCACTGTCGGTCTCGGCAGCCAGCTCTCATCCTTGTGTGGCCCTTCCCCAGCCCGGTCCTAGATTGCTTGTGATCAACCCCCTTCCTGGCACTGGTGGCGGAAATAGACTCCATTCGAAGAGCAGTTTTTGAGTAATTGTGAAATCGGAAAGTCTTACTAGACGAACGCCTACAACACGAGGATCTGCAAACAGTTTCGCCACTGTGGAACATAGCGCGAACCAAAATCGAGACTGTGGTCTTCAAAACGGGCCCTCACACAGGGACTGAGCCAGAAACCGTCTTGTATTCCAGTGACCATTCCTTGCTGCCGAGCAATCTTGACGCTGTTTACAGGTACTCTGTTCCTTCAACACGGTTTTGTATGGTTATTTGCATTCCAATGTGTTGATGTGCGTTAGAAAGCGGTGATGAACCCACACGAACCGCAAGTAGCAACGCGTTCGATGGCGAATGTCACTATCCAACCGAGCTAGGTCCTCAGGACCTCAGCTCATGCACATCACGCCATGAGCTCGCTGGTTCTTCTTGCTGCTCCCACATATACAACATCCTGCTCGCCATTCTGTAACACCTGATTTCACGCGCAGCGCTCCTACTCATCGCATGTTTCACCTATCCGACTAAAATTCGATTCTTTTTGCGGTGACACGTCAGTGCCTTCTAGGAACCCTTTCCCAAACTGCCCTGTCGTTCCGTCGATACTATATTCCAGTCGCACGAGCCTGCCCTGCACGCCAGCAGCAGTATAAATTACCTCCGATCGAAGATTTTACGAAGGGAGGGATTTCCTTTTTTAAAAATAACACGTTCCTGATTTCTAGCGCTGTAAGTGCTAAACTCCTATAAGTGCTGTAAGTGAGAAATTGTAGGGTCGACTCGAACTCGTTCCTGTGTTTTCCGGGCTGTCGGCCGCATCGAGCCGCTAGACGTCTTCTGTACTATTCCCGACTTCAAGAATTAGCTTCTGACATCACGAGGGAGTCCCCCTACTACTGGCGACGAAACTAAAGATTTAGCGAAACGTCCTCGCTACGCCGCGGCTTACGATCTGCGAAGCTGTACTTTCTCCTCGAAGCTTGATAGACCTCACGAGTTGAGAATGACGATTAATTGTCCGAGCAGCCACACGTCAGAGGCCACGCTCGCATCACCCAACCGCCGCCGACCATCGCGGCGTGCTTACGAGGCTTCAGAACTCTCACCTGCGTTAAGGACTGCTTTCGAGGCGCGAGATTCTCAGCACATGGCCCTACCAGCTTCAGAACCCTTACCTGCCATGACCTCCCGGACCCTGGCCTCCTGTCGGGTTGCGCGAGTCGCGGCGTCGATCGCGCTGCTTGTGATGCTCGCTGGAATCCCATCAGCGGCTGCCGTAGCGCCTGCGCCAGTTGCGGTGCACTCGAGCATGTGTAAGCGCAACCCCCCCGCTCCGTCCCCCTCTTCGTCCCCCTCCCCGTCCCCCAACCACTCGTGGACGCGGAGAAGCTGGGGGACCGCTCCCAGTTCCGTCCGCCCACTTCCTGTTTTCCGTCCCCTTATCCGCCCCCCTCTCCGTCCCCCCACCCCGTCGTCCCCTGTTCTTTCTGCTCATTACCCAGATTCTGCGCCCCCTCCCCCTCGCAAGTTCTTTCCTCTAGCTTTCCGATTCCCCCCTCCTCTCGCACACCCCCATCGCTCCCGATCTCAATTTCCCTTCCCTTCCTCCCCCCCATTTCCCTTCCCCAATCCCTCGCCTCCCCCCTTTTCCCCTTCTCTCTCTTCCCCTTCCTTTCGCACTCCTCCTCTTCCCCCACCCCCCTCTCTTCTCACCTCCGCTAACTTGCCTTTCCGGCCCACCCCGTTCTCTCTCCCTTTTCCGCCCTTCGTTTCCGCCCTTCGTTTCCGCAGTCCAACCACTCAGCGCACTGGGCAAGGCGTTGCGAGTGCCGAGCAGCTATGGGTGGTTGGGCACGCGCGAGTGCAACGACGGGTGGACGGGCGTCGTGTGCGACGCCGACGGCAAGCCGACTTCGATGTGCGTATTAGTTTTGAGTTTGCTTCTACAGTAGTGTATTTCGTTGAAATTGTGTGTTACGTCATGTAGTTATCTGCGTTCAGTAACTACAATGAACAAATCGCTTACTGTTTGTTCCTACTCTAAAAATTAATCAGTCCTTTTGTATATCCATCCCTCCATCTAACTATCCTTCCATCCGTGCATGCAGACACTTCAAGTCATCATTTAATGGAGGATTTCTCTCTTCTGACGTCACCAAACTCACATCGCTCAAAACACTGTATGTTCCACATGACGTCACGCATCTCGACACAACCTCATCGCATCATGGACTGTGCAAGGCAAGCTGATTGTAGGAGGATCTTCCCCCAAATGGAGGAGGAAGGTCCTGGTTATCCTACATCCCGGATCCTATTTCTCACATATTATTCGTGCTTATATGTACACAATCACAACAGATAACTGTATTTTATATGTCTAAATATGTTCTAGGTTTCTAATCATAATTATTTATTCGATTCTTATCTACCCTATTCTGCACTGTATGCAGGCTTCTCGACTCGGTGAACATCGGGGGCGTGATTCGAGCAGGCATGGAGAGCCTTCAGCTGCTCACCGCGCTGTAAGCCTCAACGCATTCGTTACAAGCACATGCCGCTCAGTCAGATCACGTGCCATTTGTCACAGTCACACACTGTTAATCACTCGCACTCACCACCCCTTCCCCCAACCCCCGTTCACCCCCCTCTTTTTCCCCCTTCCCCCTTCCGCCTTCCTCCGTCCCACTTCCCCTCCGCAACACGCGCAGGTCTCTTAACGGGAAGTATCTGAGAGGGGAAGTGCCGCCGGCCCTGGGTCAGCTCACCAACCTCGTGCATCTGTGAGTGCTGCCTCAGGTGCTGCCTCAGGTGTTGCCTCAGGTGTTGTGCTCAATTGGTCCATTAGCTGGTTGCAGGTTCAATTCTCTAAGTCAGGCTCTGAGTCCGATTCCTCAACCTCCTTGCACTCTTGCTCACCCCTCTGCACCCCTCTCCACCCCACGCTATCCCTGCCAGGTCCATCAAGGGCAGCGATCTCTTTGGCAGTCTCCCTGAGGAGCTCAGCTCTCTCACGCGCCTCATCCACCTGTGAGTGCCTGGCAGCATTGCGCGTGTGCTCGTTTGCGCGTGTGCTCGTGTGTGTGTCCGTGCTGTTGTTTGTGTCGCTCGAAGCTCATCTCTCTCACGCGACTCATCCACCTGTGAGTGCCTGGGAACAGTGTGCCTGTGCTCATTTGTTCATGTGTGTATGCACGCGCTTGTGTATGTGCTTGTGCTTGTTCTTCCTCACTCACACGTTTCAGCCCCTTTTTTCGGCCAGACCTCAAAATCCAAAGAGACGATCTCAACACATTCTCCCACCCCCCTCCCTCCCTCTCAACACGATCTCTTTCCCCCCTCCCTCCCTCCTCCTCCTCACAGCACCATCGGCTCCAAGCCCTCATTCAGCCAGCTCACCAACGTCCGAGGACCCCTCCCTGCCATTGGGAACCCCTTAATCACTCCCCCCCCCCCACCCATCTCGTCTCCCACTTCCCTCCCCTCTTCCTTCCCCCAGTGCCATCGGCTCCAAGCCATCTTTCAGCCAGCTCACCAACATTCGAGGACCCCTCCCCGTCGCCTACTCAGCCCTCGTGGCCCTACAGTATCTGTAAGCCCTCCTCTCCCTCCGCCCTCGCCGCCCCCCCCCCTCCCCGCCTACTCAGCCCCTCCCCGCCTACAGTACCTCTGAGTCCTTTTGAGACGTCTCAAAAACTCAACCCTCGTGGCCCTAGAATACCTCTGAGTCCGGATTTGTTCTTCCTGTAAGTCCCACCCTTTATTCTTTCACATCAGTGTGCAAGAGTCCCACTTCCCCCTCTTCCCTGTCAGTATACACTGTCAGCTCTACCCGCTGCCGTCCTGTCAGCTCTACCCGCTGCCGTCCTGACTTTTCTGCCCCTGGCAATACCACCCATGAGCACTGCCCACTCCCACTCACTCTCCCACTTCCCCGTTCCTGAACCCCTGTCTGCAGCGACTTGGGCTTTAATCGCCTCTCGGGTCCGATCCCGGGCTCCTGGGCTGCTCTCGAGAATATTTTCTACTTGTGAGCACTCTGCCTTGTTCTCTCTGTTCGCTTTGTGCTCTTTTTTAGTGTAGTTGGCTTCGTGCACATGGGTTGGAGAACAGTACGAGTCGTGCTTGTAATGAGTACGACAAGCAAGACAATCACGTGCCTGCTGACTGCTCACATGCTCCGTACCATGCCACCACCGCCACCACTGCCACCACCACGACAACCGCCATGACCTTGAATAACAACTCGCTGCTCTCTCAGCCAATATTGTAAATCAGTTTTCTCACTTTCCTTCGCACCCCCATTTCCATCTCTCTTTTGGCAGCTCCATGCCCAGCAACCTGCTCTCTCAGCGCATCCCCACGGCTGTTGCCAGCCTGGCATGAGCCATGATCTTAAATCCCTCTTCTCCCTGCTCTTCACCCCCCAATTGCTAATCCCCCGTTGCCCCACCCCACCCCACAGGTCCATGCCCAGCAACCTGCTCTCTCAGCGCATCCCCACGGCTGTTGCCAGCCTGCCCCATCTGGACTATGTGTGAGTGTTACCCTGCCCCATCTGGGCCATGTGTGAGTGTTACCCTGCCCTGTTTGGGCCATGATTCAGTGTTACCCTGCCCTATTTGGGCTGTGTGTGAGTGTTACCCTGCCGTATCTGGTCATGTGTGAGTGCTGCATTTGTGTGTCCCTTAGCAAATCTTCGACAATTTTTTCGTGCCGAGCAACTCAAAAGGTAACCCATTCCCCACCTGCTGTCTCAAACGCTCTCTTCCTCTTTCTGCCACCACAGGAACCTTGCCAACAATGCGCTCTCCGGTGAAATACCCGCATTCTCAGACACAGTCGACCTCCTACACGTGCCCCGGAACCTTCACATAGGCAACCTCCCCCGCCTCCCCCTCCTCGTCACCTCCCTCTCCGTAGCCAACAACTTTCTCACGGGGCCCCTTCCGAACGTCTTCCCGCCGCAACTCAAATCTCTCGATCTTCGGAGGAACTATTTCGTTGGGGCGGTTCGGCTACAGTTCGGGTTAAGTCCGGCGTCGGCGAAACCAATGTCGTCGTGTAAAAATATGAGACTCGCCGGGAATTGCTTGACGTCGGCGTCGGATTGCACGAATAGAAAGGGGCAGCGCAAGCAGTATCGGTGCCGGAATCTGTGCGGCTCGTTCGGGTGGAATTCAAAATCTACGTCTGGGACGCAGTGCGGAGGGTTGGGACAATGTCGGCCGCTTTCGAAGAGCCGTGGCTGGCGGAATGCCATTATGTGGGCCTGCAGGTGTGACGCAGGTGCAAGGCCAGCAATTCTGAAGGGTTTTCAAACCTGTGTGAAAGCATAAGTACCGTACAATCCCTATGTAGTTAGGTGGTATTTGTTAAGTGATCTAACCATGTACTTGGTTTGTTCTCAACGTTTGCATTTTATACTAAATAATGTGTTGATCTAGAGCGTGTGATTCCAGCAAAACTGCTACTCGACTTTCTGCCAATCGAAGCCGTTCCCTCCGTCACATGGTCACTTGTAATGTGTTGTTGCCAGGTCAGCTTTCCGTGATCCGACGTATGAGCGAATCAGCACACAAGAAGCCCCACCTCATCGCACGAGCCCTTCGTTTGTAGTCGTCACCCATGGATGTCCCTCGTCTAATCACGGCGAGAAATGAACTATTCCGGGCACTTATTCAGCGCCAGTCTGGTCGAGATCTTGCCCAATTCCGCCCCGCCGCAGTTCGTTCCCCATAGTTTTCCGCGCACGCCCCCCAACCACGGTGTTTTCTTCGCTTGCGCGGCGCTCACTCTGGGGAACTCCACGCTCGCAGCTCCGCCCCACTGTGCTCAATTTCCCCCGTTCTCGCGCAACAGCGAATCTTGGGCTGGGAAGAAAAGAAATGCTTCCGCTTGTGTTTGCCTCAAGGATTTATTTCGTGCCAAGTTGACAAGCCTCCTAGGTTCACAATGGTGCACTTGAGATGCAATGACGTGCAGAGACGTCACAAAGCGGTAAAGGATGGTTAACAAACGCTGTTAAGTATTTGGGAACGGTTGAATGGGGTTTTCCAGTCACGAGCCAATTTTACCGCCTCCCAATTTCGCTTTATACAGCAAAGCGAAAGCGCATCCCAGCTCAGCCTCACAAGAAGCATTGATAGAAGCTTCGTGCTCGAACCTTTCCTCTTGCAGCTGCCTCCATAGCTTTGTGTCGCTGCTTGTTTCCTGTTTTTATTTTTCCGAAGTGAATCGAGCCTGAATAGCTACGATCAACGTCGCGTGGACCGTCTGTCTTCTGCAAATTCGCGCATCCATTGTTCACGGATGAGCGAATCTATTGCGCCCGCGACACCACGCGACACCACGCCACGCTACGCGGCCACACCGCACCCCGGCGCGCGAAGTTCCGCGAGATCGACGAACCAGCGTCGCGCGACGAGCAATAAGTGCCGCTAAATATCCCGGTTCACCGTTGCGCGGGGCGCTTTCTGAATAAGGTCGAACAGAAGGAATAAGGTGACCGGCGAACTGCATTACCTTTTTGGTGACCGTCAAGTCATTTCCGCGAGGTCTGTTTTTAAGGAAACTGCATTGACCTGCTCCTTAAAGCTCACGGACGCAGGTGTCAACCGTCGGCCGCCGTATTATTACGACTTCCGGATCAAACGGAACATCGCGACGGCGTTTTGCGATGTTCGCGCTGCCTCGAGCATCGCTGTCCGGTATCCTATTGATTCGCACACGCCGTCGATCCATCATTTCTCGGGGCTAGTTAGGAATCTGGGCCCCGTCAACGGACATAGGAACTGTTCTTACAGTAGCAAGCAGTTGCGTACAGATCGCGAACAGATCCGCTTTTCAAACTCGACGGCCAGTGTCAACACTCGTTCGCGTGTCAACTATCGTGTCAACTCTCGTGTCAGCTCAGCATGCAAAAGTGGCTGGGCGAGCTACCCGAGGAGCGCCGGTCGCAGATTTTCAGCGGCGTCGCGGGAGCCGGTGCAGGTGAGTTTCCACGTCAGATTCTTGTTGACACGTCAGACTCTTGTTGACACGTCACTTGTTGACTCGTCCGACTCATCACATTCTTGAGGCGCCTGTTTAAAATGGGACAAATAGCTGAATCAATCGTTCGGTTCCGTTTCCTTCCGTTTCCGTTCCATCTCCCTTCCGTCTCCTCTCCGTCTCATCTCCGTCTCCGTCATCCACGTACCAGGCGCCATAGCCGCCACGTTCGTCGCGCCGCTCGATGTCGTCAAGACGCGGCTCCAAGTGCAGTCAATCCCGCGCCCCCAGCCACAACCGGCTGCCGGCAGCTCTACAGGCCAAACAGCCGGCAGCCTAACGGCCGCCGCCCAACTGAACCAACACTCCAACCCTACCCCAGCGCAACCTTCTAACCGCGCAAGCGGTAACCCTGGCGCTTCCGCTTCCGCTTCTGCCTCCCCCTCCCCGCACGCGCAAGCGACGGTTCCCCCCTGCAGTTCCGCCAATCCCGCCTCCCCCTCTCCGCAGACAGGAACCCCGCGCTCCGCCGCCGCAGCTGTCCCCGTTATGAGCAGCCTCGCTGCAAGAAACGGGCTGTCCATCGCGCGCGCCGGGATAGGCAGGCAAGCGGGCGCGGGGCACGAAGCCTCCGCCTGCGCCACGTCCGGGGGGCCGCATTCCCGCCCGCCTGGCTCCCCGCACTCCCCGGGGCCTCCGCTTCCCCCCCGGGGAAATGCAGCGGGGAGCGGGGCGGGCGCAGCAGGGGTGCATGCGCGCGCGGGGAGAGCGGGGGCCGCGAAGGCGGGGGTGATTGCGACGACCCTGCGCGCCATCTGGCGGGAGGAGGGCATCCGCGGACTGTACAGGGGGCTCTGCCCCTCCGTGGTTGCGCTACTTCCGAACTGGGCGGTAAGGGGAACGTGTGTGAGGGGGGAGATGGGGGGAGATGGGGGGGATGGGGGGGAAGGTTAAGGGGAGGGCATCCGCGGGCTGTACAGGGGGCTCTGCCTCTCCGTGGTTGCGCTGCTGCCGAACTGGGCGGTAAGGAGGGCGCGTGGGGGGGAAGAGGAGATGGGGGAGGGAAGGAGAAGGAGGGGGCATGTAAAAGGGATGAAGAGACCTACCAGGGGGGAAGAGGGAGGAGGGGGCAGGCGAAGGGGGGGGGCATTCGCGGAGTCTCTAGGGGGGTGTAGTCTTTTCAGCTCCCCCTTTTTGCCACAGTGTATTCTTCTGTGGTTGCGCTGCTGCCGAAATGGGCGGTAAGAAGGGGGGGAAGCTGAAAGAGTGGGAAGAGATGCGGGCTGGAGGGGGAAAGGGGGAGTGAAACGGAACGGGGTTCTGCGCCTCCGTTGTTGCGCTTTGTGCGTGCATGAGGAGTGCGTGAAGGGAGCGCAGGGATTGACGTTGATGAAAGGAGAGAGGGGGCTGCAAACAAAAGGAAAGAAATAACGAAAGAAAAACAACAGCAAGAGCGGGAACAGAGGAGGGGGGTGGGTTCGGGGGGAGGGGAGGAAAAAGGGGTTAAAGAAAAAGGGTAGAAGGGGAGTCTACAGCAAGGGGAATGTGTTCAAGGGAGGTGGTAGGAGGTGGGGGGGAGAAAGAATCAAAGGGATGTCACATGAGCTGTTATTGTTTAAGGCCTAGTCTTAGTGTCAAGCCACTGTTTAGTAACAAAATAACCTCTGATTCGCCACATGCCCCATGCATGCCCCATCCACCCACAGGTGTACTTCTCAGTGTCCGACCATCTCAAGAAGATGCTCAGAGCGAGGAGGCATGCTGCTTGCCCATCCCAACTCACGTGCACTGGTTGCTGTTTGCATGTGCCTCCCCACCCACAGGTGCGACTCCCATTTCCCCGGCAGCAGCAGCAGCAGCAGCAGCAGCAGCAGCAGCGCAGGGAGGGGATGCACAGGGGACGGGTGCACTGGTAGTACCGGCAGCACAGGCGCCAGCAACTCTGGTGTCATGTGCACGGGGGTGTCCTGCACAGGGGACTGCGATGGCTAACATGTGGTTTCCCCAACCTCCCACCCCACCCACAGGTGTACTTTTCAGTGTACGACCATCTCAAGAAGATGCTCAGTGCACCCGACTCCCATTTCCCCGGCAGCAACAGCGCAGGGAGGGTATGCACAGGGGACGGGTGCATGGGGGAGGGCTGCACTGGTAGTACCAGCAGCACGGGTGCTAGCACCTCTGGTGTGAGGTTTACGGGGGTGTCCTGCACAGGGGACTGCACTGGAGTCCCCTTCCCCTCCTCCTCCTCTTCCCCTCCGCCGCTGCTCACCAGCGTTACTGCAGCAGCGGGCGCCGGTGCTGCCACAGCCATTCTCACCAACCCGCTCTGGGTCGTGAAAACGCGCCTGCAGGTGCGAAGGGGAGAGGGGGGGGGGGAGGGGGAGGGGGAGGGTAAGAACGAGTATGCCAGGGCTGCTTGTAGGGGGATGTTTGGGAACAGGTGCTGCCACTGTCATTCTCACCACCCCTTTCTGGGTCATGAAATCTCGCCTGCCTTATGAGGAAGAGAGACGACAAGGTTTTCGCAATGCCTCCCCCACCCTTCCTTAACTCTCTTCCATGTCTTCCCCAACCCTCTCTCTCTCATGCCTCCCCCACTTCTCTCCAATAATTTCTCCAAATCTCTCCCATGCGTTCCCCAACTCTCTCCTGTGCCTCCCCTCTTATTCCTGCCAGACCCAGGGCCTGCGCCCCCATCGCCTGCCGTACAAGGGCACAAGGCCTTCATCTCCCTACAGAGGCACTGAAAAACTGGCACTATGCTCTCTCCTCCTCCCACTCCTCCCTCTTGCATTGAGCTGAGGCGCCTCAGAATTCAACTCAATGTCTGCGCCCCCACCGCCTGCCGTACAAGGGCACAAGGCCTTCATCTCCCTACAGAGGCACTGAAAAACTGGTACTATGCTCTCTCCTCCTCCCCCTTCCTCCCTCTTATCCTTCCCAGACCCGGGGCCTGCGCCCCCACCGCCTGCCATACAAGGGCACATTCATCTCCCTACAGAGGCACTGAACAACTGGCACAAAGTTTTCTCCTCCCCCTTCCTCCCTCTTATCCCTCCCAGACCCAGGGCCTGCGCCCCCACCGCCTGCCATACAAGGGAACGGTATCGGCACTGGTGCGCATCTTCCGAGAGGAGGGCGTGGCCGGGCTGTACAGGTGTGTGTGTGCGTGTGTGTGTGTGCGAGAGCGCGCGAGGGAGTGAGGGAGGGAGGGAGTGAGGGAGTGAGGGAGGGAGGGAGTGAGGGAGTGAGTAAGGGCCTGTGCCCCCACCGCCTGCCGTACAAGGGCACGGTGTCGGCACTGGTGCGCATCTTCCGAGAGGAGGGCGTGGCCGGGCTGTACAGGTGTGTGTGAGGGAGTGAGTGAGTGAGTGAGTGAGGAAACGAGTGATGGAGTGAGGGCATGATAGCGATGGAAAGAGTGAAGTGATTGTGTATGTACGAACACCTGAACACCTGAACCACATTGTGCACGTGAATGAGGGCATCTTCTGAACACCTGAAAGCATTGTCCCTCCCTTCCTCCCCCTTCCCTCTTCTTTTGCTCACCTTTCGACCTGCGTCCCTGCCTCTCTCCTCGTCCCCTCATCTCTCACTCACTACCAACATTGCTCCTCACTCTTCCCAGTGGGGTGGTGCAGGCACTAGCAGGAGAGAGTGAGCAACGTGGCAATCCAGTTTCCCTCGTCGGCCGAGGACACCCTCTCCAGGGGTGTCTCACACTTTTTCCCTCCCTCCCTGTCACACCCCTCATTCTCCCAGTGAGGTGGTACCGGTACTAGCAGGATTGAGCCACGCGGCTATCCAGTTTCCATCCTCTCATACACACTCTCTCTCTCCCCTCCTCCCAGTGGAGTGGTGCCGGCGCTTGCAGGAGTGAGCCACGTGGCCATCCAGATCCCCCCGTCTCACTCACTCGCTCGCTCCCTCCCTGTCACACCCCTTCTCTTTCCAGTGGGGTGGTACCAGCGCTAGCAGGAGCGAGCCACGTGGCCATCCAGTTTCCCCTCTACGAGCACCTCAAGAAGACCATGGCGGAGAGAGCAACCACCCCCTCCCCTTTCCTGTACCCCATTTCTCTCCTTGGGAACTCCCTTCTCCCTCCCAGTGGGGTGGTACCCGCACTGGCAGGAGTGAGCCATGTGGCCATCCAATTTCCATCCTCTCACACACGCTCTCCCTATCTCCCTGTCTCTTCCCTCCTCCCAGTGGGGTGGTACCAGCACTAGCAGGAGTGAGCCACGTGGCCATACAGTTCCCTCTCTACGAGCACCTCAAGCAGACCATGGCGGAGAGAGCAAACACGAGCATCGATAAGCTATCACTCATCGACCTCGCTCTGGCGTCCGCGGTCTCGAAAGTTGTGGCTTCCACCCTCACGTACCCCCATGAGGTAACGCGTGAGCTGTCATGTTGGTATACAATGCAAGGTTCTCGCACTCTTGTAAAAAAGTATATATACATGTATATTTCTTATGTTGCAATGGTTTTCACTCGTACGTCCATGCGCTTGTGTTCCAATGTGTGGGATGTGGCAGGTGGTGCGGTCGCGACTGCAGGAGCAAGGCCGAGCAGTCGCAGCAGCGGGAGCAGATGGCACCGTGCCCCGCTATCTTGGTGTCATCGATTGCATCCAAAAGGTGCTTTGCCCGCATCATTGACTTCTTTCTCACCCCCCTCCTCGTCGACTTTTGAGTCGACTCTAAAGAGCTGATGGCAGTGTGCCCCCCTATCTTGGTGTCATCGATTGCATCCAAAAGGTGTTTTTCTCATATCCTTGTTATACCTTATCCACCCCTCTCCTCCCCACCCCCACCCCCACCCAATCCTTTGCCCTTTCTTCGTTACTCTCTCATTGACGAGCATCCCCTCCAGATCTCTCTTCCTCGCTTAAAAGGAGCACATATTCTTTCTATGTTATGGTTGCGTACAGATAATCAAATACGAAGGTGCGCAAGCGTTCTACAGAGGATGCGTTGCAAACTTGTACAGAACTACTCCAGCAGCTGTCATCACTTTCACTTCATTTGAGCTTCTGCTTCGGTTTCTTCCTGTAGCATTTCCGCTGGCTGACGCGCAAGTGTTGGTGGTGGATGCGGCAGATCAGGAATAGAATAATTCAGAGGTTTTGTGTCCTGCTTGTTTTTAATATGAGATGTTATTTGTTCCATCATCTTGTTACGTGTTCGACTTCTGTGCAAGCTAGGGCTTTTCGAGTCAAATGGTCCGTGAAACTGTGCTGGTCCCAGCCCAGAAATTGTGCTGACTGCTCAACAGAAGCTTCCCGCGCTGCTTGGCTGAAAAGCTTTCGCCGTCAGCGTCTTGCCAAGTGCTAGCTTGCATTCCGCGTCAGCAACATGCACTCAGATAACTTGGATGGTTTTGCTTACTCTACGGTGCCAAACGGTTGATTGCATGTTTGGTTACTTGACAGAGGGTTCGAGCGGGACTGTCTACTGCCATCAAGCTCGCGTGACCCACAAATGGTGCTGCAGACAAATGGGAAATCGACGGTCCTGAAAAAGTTTCTCCCTCCCTCCTGTCCTCATCGGCGGTTCCTCGATTCTTCCTAATCCGCAACTTCCCGAGGGAATCAGTTCCGCGTACGCTTCTGGCTAAAGCCAAATTCAACAGTCGCACAGAAATCCACCACCACCACCGCTCAACACTGTCACCTCTACCAAGCCGTTTCAACCGTATCTAACCTAACCCTTTGTCAGCCGCAAACCTCTATCCTGTATCAGCATACGAAACCCCTTTCGCTCAATCCTGACCTTACTGTATTCCCTCCCGCACGCAACTCCCAATCCAGGCAGTTGTGCTGTCTCTCTGCCCATTCAACCCCCATCCCGCCACCCCATCCCGCCCGCCCGTGCTCCCCATTTTTCCGCACCTCTTTCCATCCTTTCCCGTTTCTCCCGAAGCCCCTTCCCTCATTCTCCTCCCCTCCTCCCCCGCTTTCCCCACCAACAGTTGCATCCCCCTGCGTGCTACCCACCCACCACATCCTTCCCACCCCCTTCCTCCCCACCCTCCCCTCTCCACAGCTTCTGTTCGTTTCTTTCTGCTTCCTCGATTCTTCCGTGCATTTGTTATTTCTGTGAAGTGGGGTCTCGACTTGTCAACCACACGCGGCACCCTCTTTTTCAACCAGTGGCCGTTTCGAACCGCTTTTTTCATCAAAACGAGCTGGTGAGCAGAAGTATCTGATCAGTTATTGAGTCCGCATGTGCGCCTAAGCCGGACTAATTTGCTGTCGCTGCGCTATGTTGGCCTGTAGATTATTTGAACAACTCAGCTGTCGCCAGAGCATGGATCTTGAACAGCGGTATGGGGAGAAAAGACCTTTCGAAGAAGGGAACGGGGAAAGTCAATCCCCCGAAAAAAGGCATCGAGGACCAACGATAGCTAAGTAGGTCGCTGCTGCGCTGACTGTTTTGCGAAGTGTCTTGTGTCGCCGCGTCGTCGTCTCTTCGTAAGACTGACAACCTCGCGCTTATGTGTTATCTCCAGTGTCGTTGTGGAGACGGTTAAGATGGACAATTTGGCGAAATTGTGCACCGTTTTGGAGCCGTTGCTTCGACGCGTGGTACGCGGGAAGACTCGCTCGTACAAGATGCGTCATTTTTCTTTGATTATTATCTCTATGTATTGACAAGTCGACTAGTTTTTCAGGTGTCTGAAGAAATTCAAAAAGCGTTTGCAACCTTCCAGCCGTCATCCAGCTCTAAGCCGCCACTACGGTAGGTTCTTGGCGACTGTAAATACAAGTGAAGTTTGCGATAGGCTAACACACGCTTGCAAGGTCTAGTTGAAGCCCTGATTTGACTCACTGTAAGGGATCGGCTGTTTCTCGTCGATAACTTATTGGCCCAGAGCATGAAAACTTCGGTGGAGCCTTTCCTTGACCCACACCTATTTTTCGGCGATTAGTTTCTCACGGTGGTGATGTGTTTGGCACGAGAAGGGGTGTAAAAGGCTTGTCTGGAAAAAGGTGTGAGACCAAATTTGAAAAAGGAGGTATGGCGGCTATTTTGCTTGCTCAAGTCCAGATGGAATGTTGGATGGTAACGAAAAGCGCTGATTTGGGTGTTGGAAACGGTTATCAGGTGCCAATTAGTTGATGGAAACTGTGGCTAGGTGTAATTGTACTTTTATGGCAGACCAGGTATTTGAAGCTTTTGACACTCGGCCGAGCTGAAGGGTTTTCTTATTGGCTGGTCGTTTTCTTGTTTCTGTCCCTTCTCCTCTGAGCTCTTAAGCTTATAGTTTGCAGTGTATGCTGTATTTTGTTTCTGTGCCCAACTCCACCATATTCCAGCAGTCTTGAAGCTCCTAAACGACTACCAGCCAATGGCGTCAAGCGTGACTTGAGGCTGCAATTCCGCAACAAGTTGGCACTACCTTTGTTCACTGGAGGAAAGGTGGAGGGCGAAGGGAGTGAGCCAATCCGAGTGTTTCTCCAGGATGGAGATACAGGTTCTGTGGTTACCACAGGACCAGAGGCCAATTTGAAGCTTGAAGTTGTGGTGCTTGAAGGAGATTTCAGCAGAGATGATGAAGATGATTGGTTACCTGTAAGAAGTCTTTCTGTTTGCCCTTATCTTCCGTGTATCTTTCTGGAATGCTTATGCCCTGGTTCTTGTTTCATTTTTGTAGTCTCAGACTGAACAGAATGCTGCTTTGTGCAGGGGGAATTCGACCAATTTTTGGTGAAAGAAAGAGATGGCAAGAGGCCCCTTTTAACCGGCGAGACATTTGTGGTGTTGAAGGACGGGCTTGGGGTCATGGGCGAGATCACGTTCACAGACAACTCCAGTTGGATCAGGAGTCGCAAGTTCAGGCTGGGAGTGAGAGTGTCGCCAGGGCAGATCGGGGAGAGCAGGGTACGAGAAGGGAAGACAGAGGCGTTCACCGTGAAGGATCACCGTGGAGAATGTGAGTTGCTGCTGAGTTTCTTGAATGTTTGGCCACTTGGGTTTTGGTTTATTTCTTATTTTGTAATGGGAATAAATCCGGCCCGGTTGAAAGACGGGCTCGCTGATGCTGTCGCCCTTTTCCATTTTTCATCCTGGCTGTGCAACAGTGTACAAGAAGCACTACCCACCTGCTTTGACAGACGAAGTGTGGCGATTGGATCGCATAGGCAAAGACGGCGCCTTCCATAAGCGCCTGAATCAGGCTGGAATCTTCACAGTAGAGGACTTCCTACGGCTTGTTGTCATGGACCCACAAAAACTACGAAATGTATGTGTTTTTTTTTTCTTTTCTTTTGGAAGCCTCTTGCACATTTACGTAGCTGATGTGCGTTCCTGAATTTGATTCGCCTTTTTGTTTCCCAGATTCTTGGTTCAGGCATGTCAAACAAGATGTGGGAGAACACGGTGGAGCATGCAAAGACATGTGTGCTGAACGGCAAGCTCCATGTTTACTATGCGGATGACAAGCAGAACATTGGCGTCATCTTCAACAACATCTTCCAGCTCATGGGCCTCATTGCCGACAGCCAGTACATGTCTGTGGATCTTCTCTCTGAGAGTGAAAAGGTAAACGATCCCTGCTACTATTCTAACATCAGTTTTCTGCTGCAGATATTAAAAGAACGAGTGTGGCTTTAGTAGAGAACCAAGAATCGACTCTTCGACTAAAATCTATTCAGGAGTTCACAGCAATGGGCCATGGCAGCTGCTGGTGCATTCAATCCAATGCATGTGTTCCTTTCTCGTCTAAACCCTGTGGTTCTCGGATGCAGATTTACGTGGATAAGCTGGTGAAGGTCGCGTACGAGAACTGGGAGAATGTTGTGGAGTATGATGGGGAGGCTCTTATAGGGGTCAAGCCAAACGGGCTAACAACTCTTGATGCCACGACTGATGACCCTGGTGCAACACAAAGAAGTTACTCCTCTGGCCAGTACACATGAGACATCTGCTGCAGTTTACTGAATCCCTGGTGAGCGTCCCCCCTGCCCCTCCCTTCATTGTCTCCACACTACATGTGTACCAGAAACGTTCCTCTGCTCCTTAGCATTTCCCTGTTCCGTTGCATTTAATGCCCTTTTGTGTTTTGCAGATTGTACAAATTTAGGACATCTAGGGTACTGAACCTTGATTATTCAAAGAGAAAACGGTATTGGTTAGCTTATGGATTGTGGTTGCTTTAGCGTCTCTGATATTAGATTCATCCATCAATTTTGTTGTGCAGATGGAATTGACCTGGGCCCTAAGCTAAAGAAGAAACACTCGCAATACATCTGGTTTTCAGTACAGAATGACGACCATTCGCTTATCTTTTGCCGAAGTCGGCACTATGAGGGAATAAACAACAGGTTCGCCGTACACAATCATTAGGGCCTGTCCCTGGCTTCACAGCCCAAATCTACAGCATCGCGTGCCACCTCATCCTGACGCAGAAGCAACCGCATACACGTACAGCTTGCGTCCATCATGCATCTTTGAGCCAATCAAGATGATCCAGGTGAGAGGCGGTCTGGTTTTAAGTGGATGATGGGTCCTGCGTCAGAGAAGCGCCTCGGCTCTGCCCTCCACCTCAGCTGAAGCGTCGCATGGCACAGCCTCATGTGCTCGAATATCTTTCATAACAGCTGCGATGGGCAGCCAAAAGAAACAACTTTGATTGGTGCATGGGAAATTCATCACTGTTTGAGCATGGCCTCCCGCACTCCCATTGGCGTAACGTTTTCGGGGCAGACGGAATGGGAGCAGGAAGGACCACTCCCCTTCTCCCACACAGCCCCTCATCGTCACTTGAGAGAGGGAGCAAGAAAATCATGCCAGGGAGGGAATGCATTGGGGAATGCAGCTGTGCAATCCCCTGCAGCAGAAGGCATGAATGTGTGAGTGTGAGCAAGCTGTGAGGGCGCAGAACACCAGCTCATGCACTCCAGCGGAAAGTGGGCAAGGATGTCTTGTGGCCCCAACACCAGGCCCACCACTAAGGTAGGATGTTCGTCCGTGCTTCACATTCATGCTTCAGTAACTCAGCTCCTATGGCCTGACTCGCAAGTGCTTGCAGCAGCAGCATCTCACGCCTCATTCGAGTTGTTCGAATCTGCGGATTCGTATCGCTCCTCGGGGCCTCTCATTCGTGAATTTCATTAGTTCCATTTGTCACGCATTCTTGCGCCCATTCTAACGTCTTTCATCCTTGCTTCGAGGGGACGTGACGTCGCACTTTAACGCCGTTTCATCCGCAGCTGTTCACTCTCAAGCCATTCTATCTGAAGGCCTTACATCTCCATTACCCTTGTATCATATCATAAACCTATCGGTGACCGCGGTAAGGCAAAGCAATGGCTCATCAGTCCTTATTCACCCCGCTCGTCTTTCTTGGGTAACCGGCAAGCAGAAGCTGAAGTTGTCGTCACGATATAGAGGCGCGCTTTCGTGAAGGATACTCTTGAAGCTTTTGAAGCCGTTGGGGCTTTCGTAACCTTCAAAGCGTTTTGAGGCGTTTGGGCCAAGGCAGGAAGGACGAGAGAAAGGGACGGGGGACCGAGGCAAGGACGAGAGGAAGACCAAGAACTCGGAACGAGAACCAGACACGTTGACGCGATGGGCGGCGCGTGCTCTCGTCGACTCCGCTCCAGCTCCAGCGGCTACGGCGGCGGCTCCACCAGCGCCGGCGGCAGCGGCGGCGGAAGGGGAGGGATGGAGGGAGGCTCCATCCGGGGGAGTTTGAGCGCGGAGGGCAGATTTGCGAGCGAGCGGCGGCACCTGCACCACTGCCACCAGCACTGCCAAGGGCCGCGGTTCCACTGCGACGGACAGGAGGCCCACGTGGATTGGGACGTTGCTGACGATGCGTGCGACGGGGACGAGTGCAGCGAGGAGCTTCCGTGGTCCACGGCGTCGATCCCCGTTGCCACGTGAGCTGCTATTCGCTCTCCGCCCCTAAACTGGTGTGATGCGCCCTAGCTCTCACCACTTCCTTGGTTGTATGTCTTGCGCCACCTTCTTTTCCCACTTTCTCCCCCATTTCCTCCGTCTTCCCTCACCCCCGTCTTTTCGGTGCAACTCACTTCCTTCCTTTTGCGCCCGACCCATCAGTTTTTTTTTCTTTTCTTTTCTCTTCCCTTTTTTTTAACACCATTTTCCTGGCAGGCTGAGCCAACGGTCGTTGTCAGGGGGGAGAATGGGCAGCGCGAACAGCCAGGGCAGGGTTACTAGTGGAAGCAGAGGTAACACCGAGAATCCGTCAGCAACAACAGCAGCAGCACCACTGGCACCGCCACCGCCACCACCACCAGCACCGCCACCACCATCACCGTCGCCATCAACAGTTACGTTCGCGTCTAGCCACATAACCATGTTTGCTCCCCGCTCCTCGTTCTCTCGTCCTTGCTCGCCCTCACCCCTGGGGATTCCGACAGGCGATGCCGTCTCACTGCGCATTCCGCCTCCATCATTCCCGTGCTGCTGATGATTGCCCACGCCGCCCGTGCTGCCCGTGCTGCCCGTGCTGCTCGTGCTGCGTGTGCTGCGTGTGCTGCGTGTGCTGCGTGTGCTGCGTGTGCTGCGTGTGCTGCGTGTGCTGCGTGTGCTGCGTGTGCTGCGTGTGCTGCGTGTGCTGCGTGTGCTGCGTGTGCTGCGTGTGCTGCGTGTGCTGCGTGTGCTGCGTGTGCTGCGTGTGCTGCGTGTGCTGCGTGTGCTGCGTGTGCTGCTACAGCGGCTGTTGCCAGTGTTGTTGCTGCCACTACAGCAGTCGCCCGTACGTACCCAGATTCTTCTTCTGCAGCTGCTTCTGCTGCTGCTGCCACGACGGCTTCAACGACCAACCGTGGGGGTCTCACAACCAGCGACCCTTTCAGCAGTCAGCTGTGCTCGTGCTGCTGCTGCCACTGCTGCTACGCCCTCGCATTCCTCTCCGGGCGCTGGGAACCACCAGAAGAGCAGCAGCAGCAACAGCAAGGGAAGCAGAAGCAGCTGCAGTGGGATAGTCAGCTGCAGGAGCAGCAGCCGTATAGGCAGCAGCAGCTGCGGAGGGCGAGAAGCGTGGGTACTGGAGCAGGAGGGATGGCGGTCGTAAGGGGCGGTGGTGGTGGCAGAAGCAGCACCCTCATTATCAACGGCAGCAATACCAACTGTAGTATCAACGGCAATGGTGGCGGCAGCAGCGGAAGCAGCAGCGGCGCCGGCGGCGGCGGCAGCAGCAATGGCACGGCGAGGCGTGTGGTGGGAGGGCGGTGGCCAGCTGGCATGGCCAGGCTGTCACTCGAGGACCTTGCCACGCTGGCAGTCTGCCGTGATTTGATTCGCCGGCCAGTAAGCAATCTTTATTCGTCCCTTCGTATCCCTTTTTGCTCTCCATCTCCTGCACTCCCCTCTCCCCCTTTCCCCGCACTCTTCCCCCATTCTCTTTCTTTTAATTAAGGGTCACCCTGTGAGTCGACTTTCAACGTTTCTCGAACCTTAGTTTGCCTCCTCCCATTCCCTTCGCCTCCAGTCGACATATTCGCCATCCACCTCCTCCTTCCCTCCCCTCTCACCCTTCCCCCACCCCCCCCCTCTCCCCCCGGCCCCCCCACCCTTCCCCCTTTTCCCTCCCGTTCTGTTCCTGGCGCGTTCAGTCAAGCTATCCACCATCCAAGCTGGCGTGCCTCTCCCCACATGTGCTGCAATCTCTGCTCCACGTGCTCGTGCACGTCAGGGAGCTCTCCCTGCCGCTCCTGCACGCACTGCCCGCGCCACTCCTTGAGGTAAAATATTCCTCAATTCCTCCTTGACCACAAGTCCCATTAACCTCGGTCCCATTGCATTCCCTGCGGCTCGCGCACTGACCTTACCTTAACAACCATTGTTTATAAGTTAAGTAAAAATTCGCTTTCCATTTTTCCCCATTCGCCAACAGTCCCTGCCTCTGGCGCATTGCCCCAACCTCAACGATCGCTGGCTGGAGCTGCTGGCGCCTCACGCGCCCACACTGCTCTCCATATACCTCTCTTTTGCTGCTTTGCCCCTTCTCCCCCAATTTCAACCCCAATCCTTTTCCCAACAGTCCCTGCCGCTCGCTCATTACCCCAACCTCAACGATCGCTGGCTGGAGCTGCTGTCACCTCACGCACCCACACTGCTCTCCGTCGACCTCTCCTTTGCTGCTGCTGTCACCGATGCTGGCATTCAGAAGCTGCTGCTTGGTTCCCCTCCTGCTCTTCCTGCTGCAACCAGTAATGCTGCTTCGGTTACTGATGCTTTTGTCACTAGTGCTGCTGGCAAGAATTTGGCGGTAGACAATGCTGCTACCGTCTACGCCGTTGCTCCTTGCTGTGATGCCAGCACTTGCAATGGTCACGACAGCACCACCACCCCTCCCTTCTGCTCTCCCCTCACCTCCCCCCTCGCCTCCCCTCGCACTCCTCCTCTCTCCCCCTCTCCTCACACCCCCGCCTCCATCGCCATTGCCCTTCCTTCCACCCACCCCCTCCCCTCCTCCTCGTCCTCCCACCCTCTCTCTTCCACCCCAACCTCCACACTCGTCGCTCCATCCCCATCCCCGCTCTCAGCCTCCCCCTCCTCCCCCCCTATGGGATTAACCACGCCCCAGGGCCGAAACCTGTCCTCCCCCACTCTGTCCAACATCCGCCTTTTAAGCAGCCCCGCTTCCAGCAATAGCTCCCAAGAAGATCTGTCAGACGGAAATTCATCGGAAGGAGTGTTTTTGGAGTTGAGTCTTGGGGAAGAGGAGGGAGAAGAGAGGGAGGAGAGGAGGGTTGGAGAGGAGGACGATGAAGAAAGGAGCGAGAGGGAAGAGAGGGATGAAAGGGAGAGGAGGGATTGTGAGGAGAGGAGGAATTTAAGGGAGAGTGAGATTCGCATGCGTCTGCTAGCAGCAAGGATGGAGAGGGAGAGGCATGGGGATGCCTTGTGCAGCAGAAAACGGCAGAGGGGGGCGGGAGCATCAGCTACAGCTGCTGCTACAGCCACAGTTGCGGCCACAGCAGCAGCTGCAGCTGCTGCTACAACCGGGGTTGCATCGCTGGGTAGAGCTGCCGCGCCACTGCATGCGTCCCACCTGCGCTCGCTGTGCCTTGATTGGTGCATCCAGATCACTGACGACTCCCTGGCTCCCCTAGCTGGTAACCACCTGAACCATGCTGGTAACCACCTGAACCATGCATTGCAGCGCACTGTGAGAATCCGTTCTGCTGCACTGGTAACCACACGCATGCGTTACGTAAGCCCAACACTTGCACCATCCATGCACCATCCGGGTTAGGGCATGGGCATGGTACACTTGACTATCCCGCATGCACCATGCATGGCTATTCCGCATGATAGGCCATGGTACACTTGTCTATGCATGCCCACTCCATGTCCTTCCCCCCACACCCCCGCTCTCCCCTGCCCTCGTTGTACCCCTTCCACTCCTCTCTGCTCCCCTCCCTCCCTCACAACACATCAGCCTGCCACCAACTCGCCTCTCTCAGCGCGTGGCTGCAACCGCCTCTCTGCTGCTGCTCCAGTACACCTGACCTACCCTCCGTCCCTCTGTCCTCCCCTCCCACGTGCCCCTTCCCCTCCCCTCACAACACATCAGCATGCCACCACCTTGCCTCTCTCAGCACACGTGGCTGTAACCGCCTCTCTGCTGCTGCTCTCACGCATACGCGGTGAACCAGTTTGCAAGCTGATCTTGTGTCTCTCTGTGGTTCTGTGCCCTATGTCTCTCTGCTCGTCTTGTCTCCTCTTGTCCCCTTTTCAGTATGCCACCACCTTGCCTCTCTCAGCACACGTGGCTGTAACCGCCTGTCTGCTGCTGCTCTCACGCACGTCAGCCACCTGCCCTCCCTCACGCGCCTGAACCTGGAGATGTGCGGATTGCTGAAGGGGGGGATGCGCCACCTTACAGGTACATCCGCTGTGTGATATTTGACTGACTCTGACTGATTCTGACTGAATCTGACTGAACCACCTGCTGCTGCTCTCACGCGCTTGGCCCACATGCCTTCCCTCACTCACCTGAACGTCGGGGTGTGCGGAATGCTCAAAGGAGGCACGGCCTGCTGTGATCCCTGACTGACTCTAACTGATTCTGACTGTCTCTGACTGATTCTGACTGTGTCTGACTGAATTCACCTGCTGCTCTCGCGCACATCAGTCAGCTGCCCTCCCTCACCCACCTGAACGCACTTCCATCCCCTCTCCCTGTCTCTCACAGCGCTCTCCTCCCTCCACACCCTCAACGTCGGCTGGTGAACGTCCCTCACGTCTTCTTTCACCCATTAACCATCTCTCACTTCCCTCTCCCCCCCTCCAACCCACTCTCCCTCAGCGCTTTCTTCTCTCCGCACTCTCAACGTGGGCTGGTGCACGTCCCTAGATGACGATGACATGGAAGACATAGCCCGCCTCTCCTCGCTGCACTCCCTCAACGTCTCACCCATATCCTGACGATTTTTTAGGCGCCTCAAAAATCGTCTCACCCATATCCTGACATTAAAATCACAACTAAGACTCCTTTTGCCATTCCCCTCTACCCATCTGTCACAGGGCTTTCCTCCCTCCGCGCCCTCAACGTGGGTTGGTGCACGTCGCTGGACGACGACGACATGGCAGACATAGCCCGCCTCTCCTCGCTACACTCCCTCAACATCTCCCGCTGCAAGATCACCGACCTGGGCCTCACGGCTCTGCTGCAAGGTAAGATTGATATGACTTTCTATTTTGAGGCGCCTCAAAAATCTGCTGCAAGGTAAGATTGATATGACTTTCTATTTTGAGGCGCCTCAAAAATCTGCTGCAAGGTAAGATTGATATGACTTTCTAGGTGTGCGGTAACAGAACACATGATTTCAGACGACCCTATCTGTGTCCCTCTGCCCTGCTTCCGGTCCTCTCTCCCATCCTTTCGCACGCTCCATTCCATCAGCATCTGCAGCTCTCGGCTCCCCCACCAGGGGCCTCAGGAGGAATAGTTTCCATCTTTCCGCACGACCCATCATTCCAGGCACCCCATCCCGCCTCACGCCCACATTTACAGCTATATCATCCCTCACCACTCTCCCTTTGAGACGCCTAATAATTCCTTTCTGTCCCCACACATGCCCCATTCCCATCCCGTCACATCCGCACCTGCAGCTCTCTCCTCCCTGACCAGTTTCAGCATGGCGGGCTGTCAGCATGTGACGGACACAGCCTTCTCCCTCATCTCTGGTAAGTGGTTCGTTTCATTTTGAGTAAGCCCTTTTTAACCACTTATCAGTTCGTTTCGATCCCCGCTTATCTGTTTAGTCGTCAGCATGGGACCGACCGACACAACCTTCTCCCTCATGCTCATCTCCAGTAGGCGATTTCTCATTTCCCCAGGAAGTCTTCTCCGTCCCCACTGATTTTGGAGGCGCCTCAAAAACACTTTCACAGAAAGTCTTCCCCATCCCACTGATCGTGCAAGCCATTTGGCTTTCGGTTTGTGGAATCTGCTTCCTGCCTCAAAATACATCTCCGTGCAGTGAGGTGTATTTTGAGGTGAAGCCTTTTCCTCAAAATACATCTCCAGCAAGCCTTTTCCCCTAGAACCGCCTTCCCTCCTGGTTCCACGTCAAGTGAGGTGTATTTTGAGGCGCCTCAAAATACATCTCCGTGCAGTGAGGTGTATTTTGAGGTGAAGCCTTTTCCTCAAAATACATCTCCAGCAAGCCTTTTCCCCTAAACCCGCCTTCCCTCCTGGTTCCACGTCAAGTCTTCCCTCCCTAACACTTCCACCTCTCTCTCACCCATTTGTGCCACGTGTCAGGCGTTCACGGATTGACTGAGCTCAACGTCGAGTGGTGTGCGCTCCTCACTAACACGAGCCTCAAGCACCTGCAAGGTGGGGGAGAGCAAGGGGGAAGCGGGTGGGGGGACGGGAAGAATGGGAGGGGAGGGGAAAGGGGGGGACGGGAGGAGGGGGGAACGGGGAGTGGTGTTCACTGCTCATTAACACAGGCCTCAAGCATCTCCAAGGTGGGGGGCTGTAGGGGAAGGGTTGGGGGAGGGGAGGAGGGGGGTAAGGGGCGTGGGAAGAGGGGAGGCGAGGGTACGGAATAAGGTTTGGAGCGGAAGTGGGTTGGGGGGACGTGGTGCAGTGTGCATTGCCCACCAACACAGGCCCAAGCACCTGCGAGGTGCTTCCTCTCTCCCCCTTCTTAAGGCGCCTCAAAAAATTTGAGGCGCCTCAAAAAGCGGGAGTGGAAGGTGGGGAACGTGGAGTGGTGTGCATTTCCCGCCATCACAAGCCCAAGCACCTGCAAGGTGCTTCCTCTCTCTCCCTTCCTCCGTTCTTCCTCCAGCTCTCACGCATTTCACATTGCATAGTCTCGCCCGCACCTGCTTTGGAATCATCTTCACACCAGTTCCCCCCCACCACCCCCTCCCACTCACCACCTGTGCTTGAGACTTTTCTCTTTACTCGTTGCACTGTCCGATTTTGTTTTTTCCCCTCTACTCTTCCCTTCCCACCCTTCTCTTCCTGCCCTTCTCTTCCTGCCCTTCCCTTCCCGCCCTTCCCTTTCCCCCCTTGCTTTTCCGCCCTTTCCTTTCCACCCTTGCTTTTCAACCCTGCTTCCCATCCACGTGTTCTCATGCGTCTCACATCTCAATCTGGCCTATACCCACTTTGGCTACTTCCTCCCTCTCTGCTTACCTTCTCCTCCCGTTCTTTTTTCCCTCCCTTCCTCTCCCCCCTCCACCCCCCTCCCTCCCAGCCTCCCCACCTCCACAGCTTTCACGCGTCTCACGTCGCTCAACCTGGCCTACACCCGCTTTGGTGTCATAGACACCCCTCCCCATCCCCCTACCCGTGCTTCCCCTTTTTCTCTTTACTCGTTGCCCCTCCCTCCAGCTCTCACACGTCTCACGTCGCTCAACCTGGCCTACACCCGCTTTGGTGTCATAGACACCCCTCCCCGTCCCCCTACCCGTGCTTCCCCTTTTTCTCTTTACTCGTTGCCCCTCCCTCCAGCTCTCACACATCTCACGTCGCTCAACCTGGCCTACACCCGCTTTGGTGTCATAGACACCCCTCCCCGTCCCCCTACCCGTGCTTCCCCTTTTTCTCTTTACTCGTTGTCCCTCCCTCCAGCTCTCACACGTCTCACGTCGCTCAACCTGGCCTACACCCGCTTTGGCGTCATCGACACACCCCGCAACAGAAGCATGCAGAGCGCTCCTTCCTTCATCTCCTGTAAGCCTCCCACCCCTCTCTCCTTGTCACCCACTTTGCTATATCAACTCCTCCCTCTCTATCACCCACTTTGCTCAACACCTTCCGCTTATCACATGCTTGGCTCAATCAACACCTTCCGCTTATCGTACACTCTCCTCTATCAGCGCCTTTCACCTGTCACGCGTTTTGCCCTACATACTCCTTCATTCACCCCGCTCTTGCTCTATCGACCTTGTCCTCTATTGCAAAGCAAAACTATCGACCCTGTCACCCCGATTTGTCCTCTATTGCAATCCATTACCCCACAGGGTAACCACCACCTCTACAGGAGTTAGTTGTTTTGAACCAACCCACCCTCCTCCCCCGCAGTCCTTCCCCACGCGTTCTGTCTCTGCTGTGCTCTGCTCCCTTGCCTCGAATTACTCACTACCACTTTCCCACTCTATCCCCACCCCTCTATTCTCCCCCTCCCCTCCACACCGACCACCCACCAACCCCCACTGCAGCGCTGCGCTCTCTCCGCCACCTCAACCTCGACTCATCACGCGTCAACGACCTCGCCATGGCAGAGCTTGCAGGTAGCACATTCGTTTCTTTTTTTTTCTCTCCTTTTTTCCATTTACAAGTTCGAAAGTTTCCCTAGTACTCACAGACCTGGCCGAATATTGGAAAACTCTCTCATTGCAACCCTGCTGTATGATTCCTCACAGGTCTGACTGCCCTGGAGAGTCTTGATCTATCAGACTCCACAGTGGGTGATGCAGGGATTCGCAGTGTCTCTGGTAAGCAATTGGTGATAGCTCCAGCCTTCCTTGCCTCTCACAACCTTTCATAACCACTCTTAACCCCTGACCGCCCTGGAGAGCCTTGATCTGTCAGACTCCACATTGGGGGATGCAGGGATTCGCAGTGTCTCTGGTAAGCAGTTGTTGTAGACATACCCCTTCCCTCACCTCCCTTCCCCTCCTTTCCTCTCCCTTTCCCGCCCTTTCGCACCCTTCCCTTCGTGCCTCTCACAACGTTGACATCGAAACATCTCTCCCTCCTCCACCTCTTTCACCCTCCCCTCCTTCCCTACAGCCATGACTCGTCTCTAAACCCTCACGCTCAGCTACTGCAATGTCACCGACGGTGGTGTGGGTAGCACTACCCTATCGTCCCCTCTTCCCTCCCAATACAGCCATGCCTCGTCTCTCCACCCTCAACCTGGGGCTACTGCAACGTCACCGACGGCGGTGTGACCAGCATCGCCCACCTCTCACCACCTCTCCCTACCTCTCCTCGCCCCACCTCTCTCCACCTCTCCCAATCTTCACCTTCTTCCCCCTCCCTACAGCCATGACTCGTCTCTCCACCCTCAACTTGAGCTACTGCAATGTCACTGACGGGGGTGTGGCCAGCATCGCCCACCTCTCCGCCCTCACCTCCCTCTCTCTTGACACTCGCTCCATCACTGATGCTGGGCTGAAACGCATGTCAGGTGAGATGAAACGGCTTCTCAACTGAGATGAAACGGCTGACAGGTCCGATGAAACGGTTGTCACATGAGATGAAACAGTCGTAAAGTCATAGACAGTCCAGAGTCCCATCCTTTCCATTCTCACTCACCCCCTTCCTCCTCCCTTTCTTTCTCCATCTCCCCCTCCCTCCTCCCTCTGTTGTCTTTCTTATTGTCCGCCCCCACCCCACACAGCCCTGACCAACCTCACGAGTCTAGACCTGTTTGGAGCACGGGTGACGGACGAGGGCATGGCAGTGGTCAAGGGTGAGTTGGGGAGGAGAGGGGTTGTGGGAAACGGGGGAGGGGGATGAGGGACGAGGGCAGGGACGGTGACAATGGACAGGGTGCGGTGAGGGAAAGGCAGTTCTAAAGGGTGCGCAGGGAAGGATGGGGTGCCTGGGGTGAGGGGACTGGGGGATGGGGTTGAGGGAAGAGTGGCAACAGGGGATGGTGGTGGATGGAGGAAGGATGGTGGAGGGTGGTTAATGCAGAGAAGCTGGCTTGTACTGTGGGAAGGGTGGAAGGAGTGAGAATAAAGGAAAGAGAGATGGTGTGCTTATGGTACTGCATTTTTCTTCAGTGCTATATCCGATCCTCCCCATGCTCCCCACGCTCCCGGCGCTCCCAATGCTCTCCATGTCCCCATGCTTCACATGTTCCCTAGTCAGGCTTTAAGAAGCTACAGTTGTTGGGGGTGTCCGGGGGCGGCATCACAAGCAAGGGAGCGAATATACACGCCTCACTGCCCCTGAACCGCCTAACACAACCTTGTTCCTTTCTTCATGCTTCCCATGTACCCCCAACCCAGGCTTCAAGAAGCTGCAGATGTTGGAGGTGTGTGGGGGCGGCATCACGGACAAGGGAGCCAAGGAGCTCGCTTCACTGCCCCTGAAGTGCCTCACACTCTCCTCTTCCTTTCTTCACGCTTCCCATGTACTGCTGACACCAGGCTTCAAGAAGCTTCAGGCGCTGGAGGTGTGTGGGGGCGGCATTACGGACAAGGGAGTGAAGGAACTCGCCTCTCTGCCTCGACTGGCGTCCCTCAACGTCTCTCAGAACCAGCGCATCACTGACGCTGGTGTCAAGGCTCTGGCAGGTAAAGGAAGAAGAAGACAAAAAGAAACAAGCAAAACACAGCATATGTTGGTACACTAAGCAGTAACGTGTGCAGCTGCATTGCATAGCACGTGCTAAGCATGTGCTGTGTACGCTAACATTCCTCGATGCTTCTCGGAACCAGCACATCACGGACACTCGAAGTTGAGGCTTTCGCATGTGAGATAGAACACTGTCTTTTATCGAAACCAAAATCAGCTTGTCGTGCTGCCGATCCCCCAGTGTCTCCCAGTACTAAGTCGGTTTTTTAGTCGACTCAGAAATCGATCCCTCAGTGTCTCCCAGTATACCACACTTGCTGGTGGAGTGGGGAAAGCAGCAGATGGTCCAGCACTCTGGTTCTTCCTTTATCGCCCTCTTCTGTCTTCACACGATTCCCTCTTTGCCCCAAACCTGCAGCACTCACCACTCTCGAAACCCTCAACCTCTCGGGATCAGGAGTAACCCGCAACGGCCTCTGCCACCTCCTCACCCTCTCCCGCCTCACCTCCCTCTCCCTGCACGGCTGCAAGGTGCACAGAGCGCACCTCAACCACCTGCTCGTCTCCCCTCTCTGTGACTGGGACCCGAGCCTCACTGTCACAGGCGTTAACTGATCTTGGCCCCCACACAGTCGGGGGTTAACTGATATTAGCCCCCACACAGTCGGGGTTAACTGATCTTAGCCCCCACACAGTCTCGCTCTCCCACCTACACACCCTCTCCCGCCTCACCTCTCTCTCTCTCTCTGCACGGCTGCAAGGTGCACAGGGCGCACCTCAATCACCTGCTTGTCCCCCCTCTCTGTGACTGGGACCCGAGCCTCACTGTCACAGGCGTCAATTGATCTTAGCCCCCACACAGTCTGCCTCTCCCGCCTCAACTCTCTCTCTCTCTCTCTCTCTCTCTCTCTCTCTCTCTCTCTCTCTCTCTCTCTCTCTCTCTCTCTCTCTCTCTCTCTCTCTGCACGGCTTTAAGGTGCATCGAGCGTAACTCATCTACCTGCTTGTCTCCCCTCTCTGCGACTGGGACCCAAGCCTCACTGTCACGGGGGTAAATTGATTACATCTCATCTGCTCTTGATGCTGCCGGAGCATGAGTGGTTATAAATTGGGGGTATTCTCGACTGGAAGACCTTTCTTGAGTGGGTAGATGGGTCAGATGTGTAGATTGTGGGTGGTTATACAAGAGGGAACTATGCATGTGATGTTAGAGCGAAGGTTGTACTGTGCCATGTCGACCTAATGTACATATGTATATACGGGTGCAAAGGGGGGGGCGTAATGGTTGACTGCCGGTGTGCGTGCCTCGCCGCATCTAAAAAAGCAATGCGCAGTAATGAAGGATGCTCTAGGCCACCTTGACTGCAATGAGGTGGAAAGTGGGGTTGTTGAGCAGGTGATGGTAGTTTTTGGTGGACTGGGAGAATAGGCTAGGCCCATTTGACATGTGCTGGTGTGAACCTTGCTGTCTTAGCTTTGTTCATGGAACTCTTCCAAACTGTTGAATTCTGCTTCATGTACAACACCTATGAGCTTTCGTAGTATCGAGACTCGCAATTGACGTTACATGCTTATTGTGGAGGGTGGGTGGGTTTTGCATTTCCCCGCTATTGAATTTTCGCGCCTATAAAGAAGCGCAGGACATAACCAGCCCCCACGATACACATAATCAACCTTCGTAAACTTTAAAGGCCGAAGAACCCGGGGGTCTATTGATGTCTTTTGACGATAGTCGCCTACAGCTCGGTATCGATGTGCGAAGGTGCAAATGCGCGAAATTAGCCATCCATATCCTTCGCGAAAGAAAGGGGCCAATTCAGACAACAACCACACAGGCGGTTCGAGCCCCGCTCAATATCGCCTCGCCACTACTTGTTCTCGAATCAGCTGGGCAGGTGCTTGAGACATTAGTGCAGTGCTCATCGCCACCAGCAGCTGCATCTCACTTGCGCAGCTAGGGCGCGCGCGTGTGTGCTTTCACCCCGCATCTCACTTCCATTTGCTACTTGCTGAAAAGCAAGGCGCTACGAGGGACTAGAACACTCATAAAGCTCATCATATCGTGTCACGGGGTGCATCGCCCCGTTCCGCGCCTTGGCTTGTTTCACTGAGGTCGGTCGAGCGTTTGCATCATCTCTCAATCAAGCATGGCGCCCAATGAAACAGTGCCACGTGGCGATGGGCGCTTGGAAGAGCTGCTGGAAAGCGGCATGTTTGCTGACGTGACGCTGAGAGCGGGCGACGCGGATGTTGCCGCGCACCGCTGCATCCTCTCGTCGTGGTACGTGTGCGACGCCAGGGCGACGTCACGTACGACATTACGTAATCAGAAGAAAATCGGAAGGGCTTATTAATCAGGGCCCCTTGGTGTACCCCTCTGTTTAACACAGGTCTCCTGTGTTCAAGAAGATGTTTACGAACGGCTTCATGGAGACATCGGAGCGGCCAATTGTGAGGATGGACGACATGGACGAGTGCACCCTACGCCTCTTCCTACGTCTCATCTACGCGGGCGGATGCAACCTTCCGAAGAAGTACCTACTGGTGCGCTCTCTTCAGCAGATAATAATTTCGATTACTACATGTTGAAAGTACATAATTGTCTACATTGCTGCTCACCACTAGTTGGGGCTCTTATGTGTGAGTTGCATCATGGGGAGGTATTCCGTGTCTATCTTATGAACACGTCCGACAGCTGACCTGTATTCGCACCTTGAGTGTGTCCCATCCTCGATCCAAAAGCTATTGAAAGCAGTGCAGTGCAGCACCTATGACATTACTATGATCATCCCAACCTGCATTGTTGACCCTTCCAACCCGCATTCCCCTTTATCTTCTTCACAGAGCCACGGGCTGCAGCTTCTGACGTCAGCGAATAAGTACAACATCCTGGAGCTCGTGTATGCGCTGGATGGCGAACTGGCGGCCGTGGCGGCAGAATCTGGCGACCTCCAGCTGGCATTTGACGGGCTCCACGTGGCAGCAGCTCACGGCGCGGTGCAGTTGGCCAGTTGGTGCAGGGAGAAGATTTTCGAGTGCAGCGGGGAAGGAGCGTGCATCGCTAAGATCAAGGTGCGTTAAAGAGTGAGGGAGGGCATCAGTTTCTAGTGATGCACATATTTACATGTATATCTCTGCCATGTGTTTGCACAATTGTAAACGTTTGTGCAGGAAATGGTTATGAGCGACTCTAATCAAGAAAGGCTCCTCTCTTTGGATGTAATGGAGTTCATTTTCAAACGGGCATATAAGAAGCAGACTCCTAGTGTGATGGATGGATCGGTTTTTTATCGGTAAAGAAGTAATAAGTTGGTAAGTTTCTATTTATAACCTCTATTATAATAAACACATGTATCAAGAACAGCACCGTGGTGATCCATTTTCAAGGGAAAATATGCTGTTCGTAACCATCATGGGACTCGAAAACATTTTTGGTAAAAAAATAAAGGGTACGGTCACTGCAAAGGGTGTTTTCACGCGACTGATAAAGCGTTTCACGGAATCAGTCACAATCAGCTGGTAAAAAAAAAACGCGAATGGTCACAGCTGAAACTCCCGCCAAAACAAAATGAAACCCAGAAAGAACCTGGATGCATTTTCGGATGATCAACCCTAAACACGTAACTCGCCAGGTGTTTAGGGTTGATCCGTTCCCAAACCGCATCCGATTCCGATTGGGTTTTAGTTTTTTTACAAGTTCGCAGATTGGTTGGGCGCGAGCGGGAATTTTGTTGAGTTTCAAGTTTTTTTTGGCGGGAGTTACATGTGTGACCATTCGCGTGATTTTTTACCTGTTGTTAGTGACTGAATCCGTGACCCCGCTTACCAAACCCGTCAGAAAACCCGATACAGTGACCGTACGCGTTTTTTTTTACCATTCTCGTTATCGAGTTCCAAGTTGGTTACTTGTGGCATATTTTCCCCATTTTCAAACACTCACCTGCCAGCTTGAGATTCCTGGCAATTCATAAGTTCAACAACTCCGTGTTCGGAATATGACAAATGGTCGGCAGCTTTGTTGTGTGCCCAACAATATTCACAGATGTAACAAGATTCGACGTGAACGTCGGAAGGGTTGCGTAGTTACGTACGCTTTTAGTTTTCATATTTTGACGAGATACATGTAATACGTAGTATTTATTCCAATGGATACACCCAATTACTTCCTACTTATGAATACAAAATTACTGTTTGCTAGTATTATGGGATCAAGTTCTGTTAATTTTCTTGTTTGTTTCTTCCGAATTAGCAATATGTAACGATTCAGAAACAATGTATATTATTCCAGCACTGATGCTTGTAAGTAACTTATCATGTATTGCTGAATCAGGTTCTTACAATGAGCTGTTTTGAAGTTGACTCAAATGCTTGGATGGATATGTGACGTCATTACACCCTATTCTCGATAATTTCACACCCCTTAAGCGCACACCCTGGGGTAAATACTCTCGGTTAAACGTTTAAGTAGGGTAGCAAGCAACGATTGTAGACTATCGGAGGAGGGGGTCTCGCAACCTTCTCGTGTTCCAAGGGCAGCCATCGACCCCCTACTTCTCACTCGGAAAATTAAGTGCTAGACTCGATAACTACCCTCGTCAATCTTTGGGTGTCCGTCACATCGAGCCAGAAAACGTACAGGGTACCTTCGAAATAGGGGGTAGGGAGTATGCGTCTATTTCACGTGACACTAGCTTCCAAATCTAGATGTATGATTTTTGTTTTTTTAACCCGGTGCCCAAATTTTGACTGGTTTGCAATTAGACCCCTAGTGTTTGTTTTAGACTCAATATAGATTTTTTTCATGCCTCTTTTACCGATGACTTTTTTGGCAGTTGCCCCAACTTCCAGGTTTTGTTCGGCTCCAAGCAGCTTCAATTTGTTGCACCTTGTTGCAACAAACCCCAACCTTCACCTCCCTCCTTGCCTCTCACAACCACCACCCATCTAGCCAACCACCACGATATCCTGTTTGTTTTCTCGCCATCGCCTCTCCCTCTCACACCGCCGTTGCCTCCTTCTGCCACCCCACCTTCTCCCTCCTTTCCCGCCATCGCCTCCCTCATAGCCTGCTGTCGTATCCCTCTTAGCCTGCCGTCGCCCCCCCCCCCCCCCCTCCCATTCCACCGTCGCCTCCCCCGCTCATCCCGCCGTCGCCGCTGACAGTAGCTGCAGGAGCGCGAGCTGGTGGGCGAGCGCGAATCGACCTCTGAGGCACCATGATTCTCAGGTGCGTTGTCCTTTCCCGGTCCATTTCTCCTCCTCCTCTCTGAAAAAATAATTTACTTTCGTACATTCTCAAGTTCTCTGCCTGTCGAGATCTCCTTTTGCATTGCAATACCATTTGAAGAGAGGGACAGAGGGAGAGCGAGTGAGAGAGTTTGCACGGGAACTAGCACGCTGGCGCGTATAGCGTTGGCGCCTAACTCGCTGGCGCTTAGCGCTGGCGCCCAACGCGCTGGCGCTTAGCGCACTGGCTGTTTGCGCGCTGGCGCCTTGCGCGCTGGCGCCGTGCGCGCTGGCGCCTTGCGCGCCGGCGCCTTGCGCGCTGGCGCCTTGCGTGCTGGCGCCGTGCGCGTTGGCGCCGTGCGCGCTGGCGCCGTGCGGGCTGGCGCCTTGCGCGCTGGCGCCTAACGCGCTGGCGCCTAATGCGCTGGCGCCTTGCGCGCTGGCGTCTATGCGCGCTGGCGCCGTGCGCGCTGGCGCCGTGCGCGCTGGCGCCGTGCGGGCTGGGGCCTTGCGCGCTGGCGCCTAACGCGCTGGCGCCTAGCGCGCTGGCGCCTAGCGCGCTGGCGCCTACCGCGCTGGCGCCTTGCGCGCTGGCGCCTAACGTGCTGGCGCCTAGCGCGCTGGCGCCTTGCGCGCTGGCGCCTTGCGCGCTGACGCCTAGTGCGCTGGTGCCTTGCGCCTTGGCGCCTTACGCGCTGGCGATTAGCGCTCTGGCGCCAGGAGGCCGCGTGAGAGGCCATGTGAGAGAGCGCGTGAAAGTGCGCGTGTTAGTGCGCGTGAGAGTGCGCACGTGAGAGAGCGCGTGAGGGAGAGCGTGAGAGTGCGCGTGAGAGTTCGCGTGAGAGTGCGCGCGTGAGAGAGCGCGTGAGGGAGAGCGTGAGAGTGCGCGTGAGAGTTCGCGTGAGAGTGCGCGCGTGAGGGAGAGCGTGAGAGTGCGCGTGAGAGTTCGCGTGAGAGTGCGCGCGTGAGAGAGCGCGTGAGGGAGAGCGTGAGAGTGCGCGTGAGAGTTCGCGTGAGAGTGCGCGCGTGAGAGAGCGCGTGCGGGAGAGCGTGAGAGTGCCCGTGAGAGTTCGCGTGAGGGTGCGCTCGTGATAGAGCGCGTGAGGGAGAGCGTGAGAGTGCGCGCGTGAGAGAGCGCGTGAGGGAGAGCGTGAGAGTTCGCGTGAGAGTGCGCTCGTGATAGAGCGCGTGAGAGTGCGTGAGAGCGCGTGTGAGAGCGCGCGTGAGGGAGCGTGTGAGAGTGCGCGTGAGGGAGCGTGTGAGAGTGCGCGTGAGAGAGCGCGTGAGAGTGCGCGGGAGAGTGCGCGCGTGAGAGTGCACGTGAGAGAGCGCGTGAGTGTGCGCGTGAGAGCGCGCGTGAGCGAGCGCGTGAGGGAGCGCGTGAGAGTGCGCGAGAGAGTGCGCGTGAGAGTGCGTGTGAGAGAGTGTGTAAGAGTGCGCGCGTGAGATAGTGTGTGAGAGAGCGCGTGAGAGTGCGCGTGAGAGTGCCCGTGAGAGAGCGCGTGACAGTGCGTGTGCGCGTGAGAGTGCGCGTGAGAGGCCGCGTGAGAGGGCAGGTGAGGAAGCGCGTGAGAGAGCGCGTGAGAGGGCGCGTGAGAGTGCGCGTGAGTGAGCGCGTGAGAGTGCGCGTGAGTGAGCGCGTGATAGAGCGCGCGAGTGACGCATGAGGGAGCGAGTGAGAGAGGGCGTGAGAGTGCGCGTGAGAGTGCGCGTGGGAGTGCCCGCGAGAGTGCGCGTGAGAGTGCGCGTGAGAGAGCGCGTGAGGGAGCGCGTGAGAGAGCGCGTGAGAGTGCGCGTGAAAGTGCGCGTGAGAGTGTGCGAGAGAGTGCGTGTGAGAGAGCGCGTGAGAGAGCGTGTAGGTTTGTGTGTTTCTGAGAGAGTGTCTAAGAAAGTTGAGAGTCTTTGTGTGTCTGTGTGTGAGTGGGTGCAAGATTGAGTGAGTGCGAGCGTGATTGTGAAGTTGAACGTGAGGGTGGCTGCAATGTATTGCATCATGTTGGCGTAGTACTGTGGTGCCACACCATTTTACCTCTGTGAGTTGTCAAACTTTCCACTGCTTGTCAAGTTTCCTGCTTGGCCTCCTCGAAGCATTATGCGTTTTATTGATTTGTTTGTACAGTGTGTGAACATTCTTTGTTTTTGCCTTTTTCTTGTGCAGGGCGCGTGCTTTGCATTATCTGTTTTTGCTCTGTGCAGGGCGCGTGAGCTGCATTCGTTGATTTTGTTTGGCAGAGAAGGGAGATGAAGGAGGGGGTGGGAGGGAGATGAGGGAGGGAGGGATGGAGGGAGGGAGGGAGGGAGGTAGGGAGGGAGGGAGGGAGGGAGGGGGGGAGGCAGGGGTGTAGGGAGGGTAAGGGGTGATTGGCTAGTGATTATTTATTAATAGCTGAATTTCATGATGGTTGGGTGTTGACTATCCGTATGTATCTGTGCTTGTTTGCGTGCGTGTCAGTGTGTATGTGAGTGTGTGAGCCTGTGTGAGATATGTATGTGCAGTCTTGTTGTTTGTATCGTTTTGTGTCTGTCTCAAGGCGTGTGCTGAAGCGCCTCGTGTATGCAACTCAGGTTGTGATCGCCGATGGGGCAATAGCCTTAGCGTGCCAGACCAACCTTTGTTGCATCATCGATGCATTCTAGCATTCTCCCCAAGACACTCATTATTGTTATGCGTTGTCGTCGTTGTACCAGTACAATGTCGCATGTGCTTGTTCGTGTTTGTTGTAAGGTGTCATGTTAAAGTGTGTCGGGTCTGCAATTGAGGTGGGGATCGTTGTTGGGCCAGCGTTGCTCGCCTTAGCATACCGGATCCATCGCTATTGTAGCACTGATGCATTTTGCCATTCACTTTATGACATTTGCTGTTGAGTGTTGTCGTTTTTGCACATGTTCGATACGGTAGATGCAAATACGGTACCGCAATTTGCATCCACGTCGAATTTGTTGTATCGTCAATTGTGTGATGTACCGTAAAATATGGAGAGGCTACCAATTGTTTCCATTCGCTATCGACGATTATGGAATAATTGGTCTCATTTGGTTTCACCTTTTTTGGGAGACTCTTGTGTAGCAGTGTTGTCATCTCCACACATTTGAAGCACACGTTCTCAAAACGTTAAAGCGAGTGCTTCAGACGTTGGGAAAATGACAAAAATGTGCACTGTTCATTCGAGTTGACCGAAAAAGGTGCTACCAAATGTAAAGGGGTTGCTACGCAACCCAAAAAAATTTCAGCACGATGGGTTTTCTTAACTCAAGCTGAGGAGCTGTGAAGGGGCTGGAGGGAGTTGACAAAATATCAACATAACTCTTCTGTAACTACGGTAAAGTGTTTACACCCATCGTGCAGGATGATTGCATGGGGCAGCGAAACGAACTGTGCGCACAGCATTTGTGGAGCGGCTTGGAATTTGTGTTCCGCAAATTCGCAGTGTCCGAACCGAGATCGTTTTGGAAGTCGCAACCGCAAAAGCCAAAATCTCCCGCGCGCGGTCCGGGCAAAGTTTCGTTCGCCGCCACATGCTGTTGTCGCGAACAAGTCTCACCTGGTTGTCGCTCGAGTAATGCGGCTGCCACTTTGCAGTGGCTGCTTTCCCACAGAGTCGCAGCGCGTCGCTCTACATCGCGATCAATTGGCAGCGAATCGCATGCGAAATGTGTCTACTGCACACATGTATGCAAGGTTCACTGCGCCTCCCCGTTGTCAGATGTCCGCCACACAAGAACACAGTGCAAAACATAACCACTTGCACCCTATCAGATTCCCCACCCCAGCATAAATTGCATCGTCTGACCGCGTCCTCGGTTCGGGATGACACAACTCGGGACTTTGTAGCTCCAGAAAGTTTTCTCGTGACCCAAGCACAGCGCGGCGCGATTTCATTGGGTATATCCCTCACTGCACTGGTTGCTTGTGTCTGACCGACACTTGCTAAAAAGCAAGGGTGCTGCCCGGCGCTTATCAACAATTTCCCGAATCCCGCCTCATGAATGTACCCACCCAACCAACCCAAACCCCGACCCAAAGGTTGCCCTTTCACCCCAGATCCAGTTGAACCCAACCAGCAATTTCGCGAGCGACTCGCGAGAGCCACAACCCTCGCTCGCCACTCGCATTTGCTCCTTTTTCAACCCAACCCCCATTTACAACCAAGTGTGACACTTAGCCCGCGACTGGATCGAAGATCCAGCCAATACCAGCGGACCCCATTGATGCAATGCACAGTCATCTCGTGGTGTACAGTCCATTCCGTATTTGGGAATTCATTTCTTCTCGAGTTTACTATTGGGTCCAACCAATCAAGCCAACCACTGACGCCTTGATGCCTTTCTCTGCTGCCTCTTCCTCCTGCTGACTCGCACACCCCGGGCGCTGAATATTCGCAAAACTCTTGCACGGAGAGACCAGCCTGACGGGGCGACCACCTTCCATACAGAAGGCCACGCATTTCCCAATCTTCCCTCACAAGTCTCTCGAGCAGCCACGTTTCTCCAACTCCAACCCAACAGACAACCCCAGCACAGTTGTGAAGACCGTCCCTCCCTACCCAGCCATCCACAAGATAGCGGAAACCGAAAGAACCTCCTTTTCGACTTCATCATCTTCGAAGCAAGATAGCGGCAGCCAAACGAAACCCGCAAGTCTGTTAATCATTCGACGTGTTGACCAAGGCCAAAAGCACTCGTTTTTACTATTGTTCGCCTTTCGCATTTGTCGCCATCGACGTACACGTAGGGTTCCAACAGCCTTTTCTTACCGTCCCAAACGATCTGTAAGCGGCTAGTAAATAGGCTCCTCGTTCATTTTACTGCTATAGTCGGCAGTTTCGGGTACGTCCAGATTACCGCGTGTTATAATGGACGTGCCGTCGTTAATGGGGAGTAAAAAGGAAGTGCGCGAGAGCGAATCGTCCATGTCACTCGACTCGCGGATAAACGACGAGGAGAAAGCGTCGTCGTTCTGCTCGACAGGCAGCGAAGATAGCACGGTACGTGCACCAAAGAGAAGCTCTGTTTGTTTATTTTATCGCCTGCCTCATATACACATATTTGCACGTTTTACTGCCCTGAATAAAGTCCTCGCTGTGCGCTCAAAGCTAATCTGACCACCGTGACGTCCTTCCTCGGTTTGAACGGCTGCGATGATTCTGCGACACGTTTCCGTCCAGAGTAGCATGCCGCCCTTTTCTCAAACCCTAGACAGAGCTTATTAACCCAATGCCACAGCTGACCGATTCCACCTTCACTCTTCAAAGTCCCTGTAGCGTCTCCGAGCGACCATATTTGAAGTCGCATATGTACAGCACGGTCTTTCTGTAATCAGCGGATCGTTCTTGGCTCGACGACTCGCTTTAACCACGTTCGACACTTTCATCGTCCCCCTTACGAGCCCTACCTTTCCCCTTTCGACTTTTCCCTCCACATTTATATAATCCGATTACAAGTCCTCACTGCGTTAAATAGTTGAGCGAAACCGTTTCACCCCCTCCCCACTGTATCCGCGTTAGAAAAAAACAATTTCTTATTGGCATAGTTCGGTTCCATACTGTCACAACGCTTCGTAACTTCCAAAACGCGTAGTCTAGCGCATCCTTGTGCCGTCACTGCGTTCGCCAGCCGTGACATTCCTACCGGTCCCGCCTCGTCTCATCCTTTGTTAAACTTTCTCCTGCACTCCTTGGTGTTCCTGCACTTTTTTTTCAGGAAGAAGAAGACAACGCTTTACCGCCAGACAGCAAACTCGTCGTCAAGGTTGACGGGAAAGATGACGGGAAACTTGAGGAAGACGACGGCAAGCCAGAACCGGAGAAGAGACACACGGCCGCGCGGACGTGGTTCGGGATGCCGTGGTGGCAGTGCGCTTTGTTCGCGGGATCCATGGCTGTCGTCCTTTTCCTCATCGTCTTCGGCGCTGTTCTCCTCGGCCTTGCGCTTTCCTTCCAGTGTGACGTGCGCTTTCCCCACCTGGTCTCAACTGGTCCTATGCCCGAATAACGCCACTCGCTTTCTTTCCTGCGTCACCTACGCTTTTCTTCAGACGCCACCGAGCCTGCCACGCGAGCTTGTCTCTCCTCCAACCCGCTTTGTTGCACGTTTCTTTGAGAGCACGCTTCGTCTCTTCCCTACCCTTACCTTCCCTCTCCGCCCCGAACCGCCCAACTCCCCACTACAGGACGTGGTAATCCGGGTAGATAGCCTCGACTTTCACAACATGTCCTTTTCGCAACAACCCGCGATGTCCGGCTCGGGCGATAAGATGCTGCTGCTGAGCGCACAGCTGAACGTGTCGGCGAACGTGTTCAACCCGAACGAAAACACGATGGTGGTGGAGCAGCTGTTTGTCGCGATCGACGGCATGGACCATCCGATGACGAATGTCACGGTACGGTTTCTATAACCAGCCACTTCGCATGTAACTTAGTGACGTGGATGTATGATTGTATGTCCGTCACCCGCTTGCCCCTTGCAACCTCCGCGCACCTGCGAAAAACAAGCTGCCGGAATCCACGCTCCCCCTTCCCGAGGGCAAGCGCACTAAATTGTTGCTTCCAGGCCCGGCGCCGCGTTTGCTCCTTGCGCTCCCCTCATTTTTTTGTTAACATACCCCGCAAACCCTAACAGCTGCCCGGATTCACGCTCGCCCCTAGGGGCAACCTAACGCAGACCATCAACTTTGTGGTTTCGGGCTACCCGTTGTTCACCATCGCAGCCAATGAGAGCCTGCTGCGGCTCTCTGACAAGACCAAGAATCTACCCTTCAAGGTGGGTTACACGTTACACGTTTTACAAGTTACGCACAGGTTGATTCTGAAACGATTTGCAATGAAAGCGTCTCGGCTGGCTGGCCGAGTGGACCAATAAGTTTTTCGCTCTAGGTATCTGGGGTGTGCAGCTACACAGTTAACTCATGTAGTGTAATTGGCAGTGTTATGAAAGTACACACGGTTACCATCACTGTGGTGCGGATTCGTGGCATCTGCTTGTTCTCAGGATTTGGCCGCTCCCTATTGTCACTCACAAACCCTTGCAACCTGTTTCCCTTGCCTCCCTTCCTTTTCACTGTGCCGTGCTATGATTTGATACAGATGGTGGTGAAATCACTAGGGCATGTTATCTATCATGGCTTCAACACCCCTTCATATTACGTAAGCCTCAATAGCCTTCTTGGTAAATCCGTCTGATTGTCACCCCTCTTTCCATGTCAGCTTCCTGTTCAGGTGCTTTCTTATCTATATGGTTCCTTATCCGCCATCCAACCTCTTCCTGTGTTCCTGCATTCCACATTTAGTTGCTCGTGTCTTAGTCAAACCTTTTTACCTTCATTTGTTCTCCAACTTCCCTCACCTTATTTTCTGTTGTTCTATGCCATACCATACTGTACCGTGCAGTACACGTATTCATGCAATGTGACGTTCACTCCTGGGCAAGAGGGCGTGCACATTATATCATGCCACAAATTGAGAGTCAAGGCATGAGCAGCAACAACACCAGCAGCAGAGTGGAGAACAATAATATTATTTGTTGTATCCGTAAACGGCAACAGGCATACCCGCTGTTGCTGTTGCAGAATCAACAGCATCAGGTTTCCAAGGTTTCTTAATCAGCAACTCTGAACCACTGCGGGTGCAAGCTGCTCAAAGTAACTCTTTGCCTTGGTGCTGACGTTGGCAACAGCACTAGCAGCAGCAGCAGCAGCCGCAGCAGCAACAGAGACTGCAGCAGCAGCAGCGTCAGCATGATTGCTGCATGCTCTCTTGTACTCTCTCAACCACCTCTTCAATATCTAGTCCTCGCTTGCGAGGCTTCAGGATGAGTCACTGATTTAGTGGCCTCCTGAAATCTTAATTTCTCAGGTTGCACTGTACTCGTGCAATGAGAGGTATATTAGTTTGGCATCGATTTTGGCACGAAAAGAATGAGACCCGTGATTTTTTGCTTGACCTCCATCTCTTCCTCTTTATCTGACCACTTTGGGTATGTCAAGGCTAATAAATTATTGATTTGTTCAGGGATACACCTTTTTTTGGTTTGTAACTATACTATCAAACATGGATACATCCGCAGTCGTAACTGTGGGATGCACCTTATTGTCCGGCCCTACATAAAACTTCAATGAGAGTTCTGTAATGGACAGGACTGATTTACTGAGATTCGATTGGGAACTCGAGATAAGGGAGTCGCTCTCGATGGACATCGAGAATGCTTATACCGTAGAGTTTCGCATACTTCTGAAGAAAATATGAGGACCACCTTAGACGATTACCCTAATTGACTTTTCTTGAATCTATTCCTCCAGCACTGCAATCTTGCCGCATCATGTATGCCTCTGGTAGATCTGTTCATCCCACTGCCGCCATGCCCACGTGGGAACCACACTCTGCCAGGTCAGCTTATCCGACTGCTGGCATGGCGATATGGGGCGACCCAGCGACTGTTCCAGATGTTTCATATGCAAGTCCCCCGTTTGTAGAACCTCACGTTGCATCACATCCCGTTCTAAGCTCCTCGGCCTTCGGGTTTCAGGCGGGAAATTTGTCTCGCCACGTCAGCGTGACGGCTCCAGCCATAGAGCCCGCAGGACCGTCCGATGCGGATTTTGCGCCAAAATCCATGGACGAGCGTTTTCAAAGCATCTTGGCGAAGAGAAACCGCCAGGTTCGGGCTACCGAGGCCGCGGTTCGGCAGACAGCGGCGCGGCAGGCTCGGATCGCGTCGCAGCGGCAAATCACGGTAGAAGACGTTCACGCTGTGGCGAACATGGCGCCAGATTTCCCGCCGCGTTTCACGGCGCATGTTTCGGTGGCGGGTGCTGCTGGGTCTCATCAACCAACAGATCCGTTTTTGGACGACTCGTTTGTAGGTTACAGAGGTCGTACAAGTGAGAGTGCAGAGGACGAGGAGGAGGAGATGGAAGATGCGACTATAGATGACTACAAGAAAAGTGACTCTAGGGGTGTGACTAAAGGCAAACACGCCACGCTGGCACCTGGCGGTTCTAGCAATCCGACACGTCACACCTTCGATCCCACTGGCAGGCGCTCAGCCAATCACAGCATTCCCCTGGCCAAAACCCCATCAGCATCCGCCGCAAAAGCCGCCGCTGCTGCTGCTTTGGCTGGTAGTCGCGTTAAGAAGAATTCACAAGCTGTTACTGATCAAATTACTGATCGGGGAAGAGATTCTGGTCGCCACAAGTCCACCCAGTCTTCTCCTCCTCCTCATTCCCGTTCCGCTGATCGTTCTCGTCGTTCTCCCAAACCCACTGCTTCACTTGCCGGTCGGGTCGAGAGGCCAGGGTCAGGGAAGGCTGTGCCAGGCGCTGTACTCGATAAGAGCGTCCCCGCTAAGAGAGTGCCGGTGAAATCGCGGCTTCGTGTTCCTGTACACATGAGGCTGTCGTTTGAAGGCTCGGAGTCCAATTCTTCCCGAGCTGCAGCAGCAGCAGGAACAGCACCAGCAGCAGCAACAGGAGTACCAGCAGCAGAGGCACCCCTTCACTTGGTTCCCACTGCTGGAATCTTGTCTCTTCCCCATGCAACCCCTCTTGTGCCTGGTGCCAATCTAGGTGGACTAATGACGGCCTTTCATCCTTCCCTTACCTCCCCCTTTGTTGCTGCTCCCACGGGGCCTCTCCTTCCCAATCCGGTGCTCTTTCGGACCATACCTGTTTCTGTTGGAGGTCTGGTCGGAGGTTTGGTGTCTCCAGACCCTAGGTATAGGTTCGGTGCAGGAAGGGTCGGGGTAGGGGGCCAGGGAGGGGGAGGAGGGAGAGAAGGGAGGGGGCATGGTTCAGGGGAGGGGAGGAATGTGAGTGTGGCATCGAAAGCAGCGTTAGACGATGAGATTGAGTCTTACATGGCTGAGAAGTATCAGGGAAAGGGAGAAAGATGATGATGTAGTGCTGTGCGGGTGGAAGAGGAAGGAGGGGTGCACTGGAACTTGCTAGAGGGAGGAGGAAGTTGGAAGATGGGGTGGGGAGGGGTGTCCAGAGAGGGAGGGCAAGTGGGAGGAGGGTGGGCCATGTGTTCCTATGTCAACTTGATTGGCTGTATCCTTGAGAAGGTTTCTGAAGAATTAGGTACTGCATCAGCAATTTCATTTCAAGTAATTTGATTCTGGTTTCAAGGTTATTCACGGTCTACCTTGGTTATAATCAACTCGTAATGTAGAGCTTCTTCACAGCTTAATGTCAACTTGTTATAATGCTTACATTGAGAAAGCTTGCTTGGCATCATTCTCATTACAAATGGCTGTTTACAACATTTGCATCACAATTGACACAAGCTAGTGCATGCTCATATCACTAGCTACGATATACCCTATCCAAGTGGCATGCGCAAAACGGTTTACGCTGGGGTGGGTGGTGGGAAGGTTGAGTGAGCCGTTTGAAAATAGAGAAACGTGGGTGGAGGAAATGAGCTCCAACCCACGGTTTTTGTAGTTGGAGAAGGGCGTTTAGCGCGCTTCGACGATGCCAATTGTGCAATACAAGCAGCTTCGCTTTCACAATACACAATTTTGAAAAACACTATGTGTATTTAAAAATTATAATATTGAGAAAGCTTGCTTTCTTATTCTTATCAATTGGCATTGTTCTCATTACAAATGGGGTCTCTGAGACATAGGCAGCGGGGGCCTCCGGTTACGTACAAGTGCCTCTTTGTGTTGTGCCGAAGTCACCGCATGTGTCGGATCTTGTAGGTTGCGGGAGGCTTTGATGAGAGGCTCGATGTATGGCGTGACATACATTTCCTTTGCTGTGTCGCTTCGCCATCTGCCCAGCCGTTTGAAGACCCTGTCTGGCACTCCAGTGTTGGCTGCTACTGTAGCTGCGCCTTTTCGGAAAGAGTGAGTGCCGAGCTGCAGCTCGCCAAGTCCAACCTTTGCGAAGGCTTCCTTGCACCAGTTGCGGATTGTAGTGTATGAAGGTGGCCTCGCCTGACCTTTGCTAGTTGAAGCATGGCCGAAGACGCGAATCAACGGTCCTTCTGACTGAGGGCCATAGCCGGCGAGTTTGATGAAGCGTCGGGTACAGCGCACTGGGCAACAGGGGTCCGCTGTTGCTGCAATGGGAATCCATGTGCCATGACCGGTCTGATCAGTCTTGGAGTGTGGTATGAGGATCCACATGACCTCTTCGTCGAATTGAATGTCTTGCCACTTTATGGCCACTAGGTCGGAGTATCGCAGAAATCCTGAGTACATGAGGATGGGGATTAACCCTTTCTGGAATTCCGCAGGGTCGTCGGACTGCAAGTAACTTTCGGCCATGTCTCGAACTTGTTGGATCGATACGGGTTCCTTCGGACGAGTAGCGCGAGGGCAATGTCGTTTTGCACAGTCATGCACTTGGGTGGTGAATGGTCCGATTGTCGGGCATTTGCTCCCAGTCATGCGATGGGCGAAGCTGACTGCCGAGCACGTCAGCTGCACTACGGACAGGGTGGCTTTGCGTCGGATTGCGTGTACCAGGTATAGTGCGAGGGTCATGTCAGAAGCTGGAAGAAAGGGAAGATGCACTTTTGTGCAAAAGGCTCGAAACTTGGCCCAGTATGGTTCGTATGTCCAGATCGTAGAGTCAGCGCGGGATTGTGCGAGCATGTTAATCAGTTGGTCGTGTAGCTTCGGGAGCAAATCTGAACACAGGCGCATACACTATGAATTAGTCAAAAACCACTCGCAGTGCAATGATTGGGCTGTGCGGTAGTCCCGTGCCCGAAAAGGCAGTGGAATGAGACCCTACATCTAGGCATTGGCTTCCGTGTGTCAGGGGGATGTGCGCGTGGATGTGTGGGGCCCAAGTGCATGGGGAGGGCTGCAAAAGTGGCCACCAACTTGCGCCTGGCCAGTGCGGTACTATCAACGTAAGTGATGCATGGGTGCGTTGTGCATGGTGTAGGACAGCTGGGACCAGTTGTGGTGGGGGAAAAGCGAAGTTGTTTTCGAATGTCCATGCGATCGAGAACGCGTCAACTGCGATGGCTTCCGGGTGGGGAATCTTTGTGCAGAAGCGCGACAGTTGGGTGTTGTAGGAGTTGGCAAAAAGGTCAATGGAGTGGGGACCCCAACGACGTTCTAAGATGCGAAACCACGGCGTTTTCAATGTGTAATCATCGCGGTCGACCATTTTTGAAAGCTCGTCGGCGTGTGAGTTGAGCTCGCGCGGAATCCATTCGATGATCAAGCGCGTGCCGAGCTCCATGCATGTACGGATGATGCTCTTGCAGGCCGTTGTGAGGTCGGGGCTACGAGAGCCGCCTTTGCGAAGGATGAAGAATACGCCCTGGTTGTCCACACGCACGAGAACGTGTTTCTGCTTGATCTTGTTGGCGTACGTTTGGAGCGCCCAAAGGACGCCTTCGATCTCTCGCGCGTGCTAGACGTTGCTCGTAGCGGCTCTGACATGGTTGTGCTAACTTCTTCACGGCCACCAGAGAATGTGGTCAGAGTGGCGCCCCAACCGCGAGAGCTGGCATCCACATGGATTACTGCATCGTAGCTGTTTCGCACGTGAAAAGGTGCACCGTTGAACCGGTCAAACTCCTCAAGCCAAAAGTGTAGCTCCGCTGCTGCGGATGGGGGAATGACCACGCTGCTTTTCCATGATGGTGCATCGTTGATCACTTGTAACATGGCGTGGCTGAATGCACGAGCGGTCGCGCCGAGTGCGACACCCATTGATGCGAGCATGCCTGTGATTCTGGCCATGTGGCGGACTGGGACTGGTCGGCACGCATTGCTTGCGCTCAGGAGGTTCTGGATGGTTGAATGTAGCGAGGCTCGTCGGTCGAGACCAATGGAGAATCGGCCGGTGTCTGTCTCAAGTTCTACACCCAAGAATCGGAGGCGTTGTGATGGTGACAGCTGTGATTTCTTCGCGTTTATCACAAAACCTGCCTCTTTAAGGTCCAATATCACCCGCTGGCAGATTGCTTGCGCATGGGCTTTCGACTGACATAGAAATAAAATGTCGTCCACGTAAGGTATGACTCGGATTCCTTGCTCTCGCCAACGCCGAGCTAGCTGTTTGAACAACTGCGTGAAAATGAATGGAGCTGTCGCGAGGCCAAATGGCAGTGAACGGAATGCGTATGTGCGCTTGTCGAATTCGAAGCCAAGGAACTTCCAGCATGATGGGTGGATGTCGATGTGGTGGTATCCAGACTTGAGGTCGATGGAGAACATCCAGTCCCCAACGCGTGCCAGGTCGGCCACACGGCTGAGCCCCTCGTACTTGAACTTGGGGACTATCAAGTTGGCATTGACTTTCCTCAGGTCAAGAATGAGTCTGCATTTGTCTTTTTGCTCGACCACGTTTAGTGGACTTATGCACGTAAGCTCCGTTGCGGGCATCGGGACTGCTGCTCCGGTCTCTATGAGTTCTTGGATGGCGGTACGTGTGAACGTGGCATGCATTTTCGCCCCGACATGGTTGCGGTCATGGAAGGGTTGTGGTGGGCCGTGGCTCCATGGCAGCCAGTAGCCCTTGGCGATGACGGAGAGGACAAGGCTGCAGGGGCACCATGAACTCCACCACGCAAAGGTCGCACGAAGCCGACCTCGCATCTGTGTAATAGTTTTGTCCGTAACGGCGAATTCATACGGATCGTCGTAGCATACCACCTCGCACCGTCGTGCTCCTGTGTAGTGGAGGCAAAATGGGGTGATCATTGGGTGTTTCATTTCAAAGCATCCGTGTGCATGTACGAGCAACCATTTATCAAGATGTGAATAGCATCGACAATCTATCGAAATGTCAACGAGTATGTCGGGTACGCGCCGGCGCTTCTTATTTCTCTCCTCGCAAAAAACCTCCCTTTTTTTTTTTTTTTTTTTTTTTTTTTTTTGCCTCGCCTCCTCGTCCAATCGATAGGACATACCCTTCGATCATTGGAGGTGGACACACTTGTCCATCGTGCTTGATCTCGTTATATCTCGTTCTCTCTCTCTCTCTCTCTCTCTCTCTCTCTCTCTCTCTCTCTCTCTCTCTCTCTCTCTCTCTCTCTCTCTCTCTCTCTCTCTCTCTCTCTCTTTCTCCCTCACATTCTTTCCCTTGCTCTTTAGTTCATGAAGGGTGATGCTTGGGACCATGGACATGCTTGTCCACCGTGCTATATCTCGTTCTCTCTCACTCTCTCTCTCTCTCTCTCTCTCACACACACATACACACACACACTCTCTCTTTCTCTCTCTCTCTCTCTTGCTATGCACCTCCTCTTGATTTTTTAGAGGGACTTTGCCAAAATCAGTGGGCCTTTGAGAAGGAGTTCTTTATTAATCAACCAACACACATAGCAATGCTTTCCTAGCATGCATCACGCCACCGAGTGGCCAACTTCTTGGGACCGAGGGGGTTGTTGTTCCCCTTCCCTATCCTAGGCCCAAAGCCTATTTCTACCCTTCACTAGGGCTGGCCTCTTGCCATCGCAAACCCCTAGGTTTGCCCACGGTTTTCGCACTCAAGAGTGCACCGCGCCTAGCGCGCAAGCGCCTAGTGCCATGGCCCGCTCCTACACCACCGGAGCGGGTCCTTGGCCGCCATGCCCGTTCCTAGGGCAGGCACTTGCCACGTGGCCCGGCTGGCCGCAACGGAAGCACGAGCCCCGAAACCCACAGCAATTGGCCGTGGGCGGGGGGCCCCGCTTGGGTAAGAACGGCATCGGCGCGCTGTTTCCGCCGTGGTTGACACGAGCGTATCCGCTTGCCGCACGGTCCATCGCCGCCATGTCCGCGACCGCCTGCTTGAAGGGTCGAGAAGTCAGCAGGCTCTTCTGCTGGTACAACTTGAAGCGCTTTGCCGTGCGGAAGTCGGAGGCTTCCTCCACTTGAAGCACCTCGAAACGCCCCAAGATGAGGTTGAGAGCATGCGAGATGAGTTCGAGTCCTACCGCCGGGTCCCCGCGCTGCGTCTTGTATTCCGCGTGCAAAAGGTACGCGCGCAAGTCCTCCAGCAGCTCCGCTTGCTCTCGCACGGAGTCGTTGACGAATGTTGCCGCCGAAAATGTGAGGTTAGAAGAAGGGAGGGGGGGAAGGTGTTCCGTG